AGTGGCTTGTTTTTAATATAATTAAAATAAAATAAAAATTAGCTTAAATAATTAAGTATATAATATACTTAAAAGAGTATATAGTAATATAGGCGGTTCCTTAAAACTTATATATAATAAATATAAATATTATATATTATTTCTTAATAAAAAAGTTTAATATTTAAAAGTTTTTTTGCTTAAAAATAAAAATAAAGCATTAAAAGCTTTTAATGACTATAAAAATAAGGCAGAAAATAAATATAATAAAAGAATAAAAGAATTCTTTACTAATAATAAAGGCGAATATATAAATAAAAAATTTAAAATCTTATTAAATAAATACTTTATAAATTACCATATAACGCCCCTATATATAAAAAAACTAAATGGCTTAATAAAAAGACTAAATTTAACCATAATAAATAAAGTTAAAAGCCTTTTATATATGACAAATCTACCTATATACTTATGGGGAAAAGCAATAAAATATACTATATATTTATATAATATCACACCTTATAAAAGCTTAGGGTATAAGTGCTTATATAAAGTAATAAATAAAAGAAAACCTTATATAAATAACTTGAAAATATAGGGATTTATTATATATTTTTAAAATAATAATATAATTAAATTAAAACCTAGACATAAAAAGGGCATATTATTAAATATAATCCTAGAATTGAATATATATTGAATATAAGATATAAATAATAAAAAGCCTATATTAGTTCGGGATGTCTAGATATTAAAAGGGCAATATATAAATAATAATGATATTAATACTAATAATAATAATAATAATAATAATATATATATTCCCAAATGTAATGGGCTTGGGCTATTACCCAAGCCTTATATAGTGTGGCTAGATAATTCAAGGGAGCTTAGATTATTACGTACCTTTTGGCCTAGTTAAAAGGTTGCTGCTTTGCAGCTTATGGGAGAAGGCGCTAGCCAGCCTGCAGCCCCTTTAAGGCCAGCCCATAACAAATAATCCAAGCTTTAGGATCAAGGGTTTAAGTCACGTCTACCGCAACTACGAGCACCCCTTTCGTGAAAAAAAATCCCTGGCTTAAAAAGGCGATATCGCAAATAAGCCTTAGGGGTAGTTATACCACTATATATAAGGAGGGAGCCCTAAAGGAAGGGGCTATGTAATGGGCTTAGGCTATTGCTCAAGCCTTATATAATGTGGCTAAATAATTCAAGGGAGCTTGGATTATTACATACCTTTTAGCCTAGTTAAAAGGTTGCTGCTTTGCAGCTTATGAGAGAAGGCGCTAGCCAGCCTGCAGCCCCTCTGGAGCCAGCCCATAACACCAGAATTATAAGAATAAAGGGAAGAAAATTCCCCTTCTATTTTAAATAAGATAATAGTTTAAGGGAATTTAGAAGACTATATATATATTATATAAGACATATTATTAAATAACTAAATATTTATATTAAATTCCTAAGAAAATATATTAAAATATTGCTTAACTGCAGCTAATATTAATAAACCTTCTTTTTTGAAAAAGGTATTAAATAACCTAGAAAAACCCTTATGGGTTAAATTTATGTTAAATGAAATATATAGTTTATAAGAATAAAATACTTATATAATAATGGATTTACTACCCGGCCGTATGGCTTTAGGGGGGAAATGGGTATATAAAAAGACATTTATTAATAACCCAGCTATTATAAAGCTTAGTTAGGTAGTAAATAATAAGAATAATACTAAATTTAAATTTAGATAAGTTATTTAGGGATATAACTAAAAATTAGGCATAAATTATTTAAAGACTTTTTCTATAGTTTGCCGCCCTAAGACCTATACTATGCTATTAATAATAGCAATAAATAAAGGATATTATATATATAATTACAACGTTAAAAACGCGTTTTTATACTCCAATATTAATTTTGAAATATATATAAAACTACCCTTTTATATATATAATAAACTAGAATATAAAAATAAAGTTGCAAAACTAAATAAAGCTTTATATAAGCTAAAATAATTACTTATGCTTTAATATAAATACTTAAAAAATATATTAACTAAGCTAGGATTTATTATTTGCCTATATAATAAAGGGGTATTTATATACCCTAATAAATAAATTATATTTATATATTATATGGATGATATTATCGTTATAGGACTTAATAATAATGATATAAATTTAATAATTAATAAATTATATAAGAATATAAAACTAAATTTTTAAGGAGATTTAACAAATTTCCTTAAAAGCGATATATATATAAATAAATAAGATAAATAAATAACTATAAATTAAAATAAATATATAGATAAAATATTAAAAAGATTTAATATAAAAGAATAGGTTAAGAAAAAGGAAATAATCCCTTAACTTATACTATATACCCTTAATAAAAAATTAGAAAAATACTTTAACCAAGTTGATAAAAATATTATAAAATTATATTAGCAATAAATAGGATTTATATTATATGCTAGCTTAAAAACAAGGTTAAATTTAACTTATTTTATAAATAAGTTAGCTAAATATATGGCAAACCCAGGGCTAGAGCATATAAAAGAATTAAATAAAATATGGGGATATATATATAAATTCCCACATATATCTAAAGTATATAATTGCTTTGAAAATAATTTATAATTAATAAGCTATATAGATTTAAACTGGGGTAACGATATATTTATTGAAAAGAGCACCTTTAGTTATATATTTAGCCTATATAATATTAATAATAATAATAATAATAAAATAAATCTTATAAGCTGGAATTCTTAGCTGCAAAAAACACCAGCACTTTCCTTTGTGGAAGCAGAATATATGGCTTTAAGAGAAGCTATAAAAGAAGCTGAATATTTAAATAATTTACTTAAATATTTTAATAATAATTTAAATATTGGCTTTAATCTTAAGCCCCCTATTATATATATAGATAATAATGGGGCTGAGAAATTAGTTAAAAATATCTTATTTTATAAAAGAACTAAATATATAAATATTGCATATTATTATATAAGAAAAGCAATAGAAAATAATAAAATAATATTAAAATATATAAATTTTAAGCAGAATTTAGCAGATTGGCTTATAAAACTAATAGATAAACTATATTATAGAGAGTTTAAAGAAAAGTATAGTTTAATAGAAAAATAATATAAAAATATTAAGCTAGAGAATAGAGAGATTTTCTACCTATATTATAATGCGCGTAAAATAAGTTAAGGTGTTTACTCTTTAATAATTAGGGTTAAGATTTTTTCCTTTACTTATAAAATATATAAATAAATAAAGCGGACTTGATTATATATACATATAATATTACCCTAAATACTGGAGGTTTTCCCCTAGAAGAAATAACTAAAATAATAAAGGTTTTTCCTGAAAAATAAGCGTTACTTACACGGCCCATATATACCATATATATACAGTTATAATATACCTACATTACGTTTATATACGTCTCATTTTATATAGAAAATGTATTTCCGTAGTGTATATAGTATAAATAAAATGACGTGTGACTTTAATGTGTAAAAATGCTGTGATATACCGTAGCCATTATAAAATAACTAGTGAATCCTATATAAAATTATAATCTGATATGTAATACCCTACTGGCTATAAGTTTAAGTTTAAGTGATAGCAAATTTTTGGGTTTTTTGCCTATATATATATATACACACACTTATATAAGTGAGTTTTTTCCTTTTTATAAGGTTTTCTTACTATATAGTGAATATTCCTCTTTTATAAACTAAATTCCTTATATATAATAAATAAATAAATAAAAGGGAATTAGTTTAAGGGGGGCTGTTGGAATATTCTAGATGTTTAGGCTATTATTAATACGGGATATCCTTTTCCCTATATGTTTGCTACTGTATGGAGGATAATAACTATAAATAGGGGCCTTCCCTCCCGTTGAATAGACGTTAGCTAGCCTAATAGACTAAGCATCCAACGCTATTATTTGACAGTGCTTGCCGTGTTAGAGTCCGGATAAGCATCTTCCTCAAGAACTGTCGGGCACTAACTCATGATTAAGTGCTGAGGTCGGCAACGCTGGCGATCAGCTTAATGACAGGGACAGAGGATCTACCCGTAGCCGTTCTTCAGACTCAACACAATGATACCTTACAGAGCTTTGGTACCCTTGGCGCCTCCGCCAAGCCCCCGGCACCAGACTGGGCTTCTTGTTCAGCACCTGGCTCCTTAGCCGAGTCTTGTTTGATGGCATACCGAGCATGACTTCCGTGGCGATCACTCATCGCACTTCTAACATGTATGCCCCTGCTGAAGTCCACACTACTAACACTCTGACTCTACACTTTGACATTTATGAATCCTACAAACCCTCATGAATTTAGGTCTTACTCAGCCGAGGTTACAGCCCGTGAGGCCGGAAAGGGGGGCCCTGAATCCCGAGCGGGCCAAAAGTGGATAGGAAGACGTAACGAGAACCGCTGAATTTTCATCGGGCGTCCCAAGCCCGAACAGAGGCTCTACAGGACAAGTAGCACCTTTCGACGTTAGCCGTGTCAGGAAAATTGGCTCTGACGATGGTTTCTGCTCGACCCACGGTCAGGTGGCGCGGGCGACTCGGCCGCGTGTGAGTCGAGTGGGAAAGCTCAAAGGAGCACAAGAGTCTGGGCTTCGGTCTGTGGACGACTGGGGAACATCGCTCTCCTTTTTCAACCCGTTCCTGTCCATTCCCTTGAGCTGCTGCCGCCGAGAATCATTCCCCTGTAAATCAAGAGTCCGGGGCCGTCAAGCTTAACTTTGTCGCTGCATGCAAGAGCCCGGCTCCGATCTCCACCGATCCAACCGGCAACTGCATGCCAGCCAGTTGACCTCTGTTCTTCTCCTTCGGACGCTCCACCGAGCACGACCAAGGTCCCACCATCCCGTCGTTTTCTTTCTTAACCTCGAGCTGGAAGAATCGAGATCTAGTCCGGCTCAGACAATCCGGAGCACGTCAGTCGGCTCGGACCGATACCTCACCCCGGATTCTCGAAAGCTGCCATCATGCGAACCAAAGCAGAAGTCACAACGGCACCAGCAGACCCTGAGGACCAGGCAACGCTGGCGCTGCCCGTTGAACCCAAGGATGTTCCGGTTGAAGACCAACAGCAGCCCGTGTCCTGCGCGTCAAGCAACGCCGGCGGCGTCCTCGGTAGCGTCGAGGGAGAATTGATTGACTTCAAGACCCTCCACTGGTTGTGAGCCACTCAGCCGTCCCCTCCGCGTCGATACGATACAGCAAGCTAACCACATCGTAGACAAGGAGGCATTCTGCTGGTGGCGGAGACTGTGTCCCTGGGAATCCTGTCACTTCCCTCGGTTCTGGCAACCGTGGGTCTCGTGCCAGGTATCATCCTCATTTGCGTCATTAGTGCGCTGGCAACCTACTCTGGCCTCCTCCTTGCCGAGTTCAGGAAGCAGTACCCCTTCGTCCAGAACTTTGGTGATGCAGTTGGTCTCCTTGGGAGATCGATTGGCATGGGCGGTGTCTTCAGGGAAGTGTTTGGCTGGGCCCAGACCGTCCTGCAGGTCTTCCTCCTGGGTGGCCATATTCTCAGTAAGCAGCTTCCGGATACAATTTTGACCCTCTCTGGAAAATCGATTTCCTATCTGTGGCCTGTACCTCAAAGGTATTGTGAGGCTGCAGGTTTTGGAACAAGCCATGGCCATACTGTGGCCTGGTCCTCCCTATATCCAGATGAAGCTTTTCCCTCAGTTCTTTGTTGGCTGACTCCTTTTCCTGCAGTGTGGACTATTTGCATGAACACGTTGACGAACAGCACAGTCTGCACTGTCGCGTGGGCGGCAATTGGCATGTTCGTTTTCTGGTTATTCAATATCCCTAGGACTTTGAAGTACACCAGCTGGATGTCAGCAGCATGTGAGTTCAGGCAGGCAGACCAATGTTGGTCCAAGTATATATGTAGCTCCCTCGCTGACGATCACGAAGCTTGCATCTCTATTCTGGTCGCTGTCCTCATCACCGTCATTGACGTCGGAATTGAGAAGCCCATTGGAAGCGGATCCATTGAAGTGTTCAAATCCCTCGGCTTCGCTCCAGCTTTCCTCGCTGTGACTAATATCTCAAGTGCTTTCTGTAAGTACCTCCCTACCTACGCCACATCAACAAACATCCCGGACCCGTGACACAAAGTCTGACCCATATCGTACCACACACAGCCAGCCATGCCATCTTCTTCAGTGTCATAGCCGAGTTCAAAAACCCGGACGACTGGCCAAAAGCGCTGGCGTTCCTGCAGATCACAGACACCACCCTCTACATCATCTCCGCTGTCATCATCTACACCTACGTCGGGCCGGACGTCCCATCGCCTGCCCTTTCTGCAGCTGGGAGCGCCACAGTCCGCAAAGTGATTTGGGGAGTTGCGATTCCCACGATTGCCATCGCCGCCGTCATCTATACCCACGTTGCATCCCAGTACGTCTTCACGCGCATCTTCGGCCACACGAAGCACGCCATCAGGAGGACCAAGCTCTCGACCGTCGCCTGGCTTCTCATCGCCCTGGGAATCTGGGCGCTCGGGATGGTGGTATCCCAGTCCATACCCGTGTTCAACGACCTCCTGGGCATTGTTGCCGCGGCGTTTGCTAGCTGGTTCTGTTTCGGGCTGCCTGGGATCTTCTGGCTGTGGATGCACCACGGGAACTGGTTCTCGAGTCGGAGACAGGTAATTCGCTTTACCATGAGCTCGCTTCTTCTAGTTGTGGGCTTTCTCCTTTGCGTCTTGGGTCTCTGGGTCTCGATCCAGTCGGCCGCGACCACAACGGCTTCAAAGCCGTGGACTTGCGCCAGCAACGCGGCTGGATAAGGTCGTGTATTCATTACTGAAGCATGCAGTCTACATCTTGCAAAATAAATCATGATACTTACCCAACTTATAAGTTATACTTGACGTTTTGGCTGTACGCAGCGCAATCACATGAGCGAGTGAAGTGAGATAAAATATCGTGAGATCCGTTTCTATTATTTAGTACGAAAAAGCTCGGTTGAGAACGAGTGTATCTTGGCTACTCTTGCGTGAAATTATGCCAAGAATAGACCAGTAAGGCCATCGTAGACACTAGATGGATGCTGTTATAACTTTGAACGTTTGTCTGATCCATCTTTGCAGGAACGCATCTCGGCCCACAAGGGCACCGAGCTTTGCCAAGTAATAGTAATAAAACAACCTTCCCAAGTCCCGAGAGCCCTTAGCCCCCGAGCACCGAAGCAAGATCAATCTGGAAAAGCGGAGGCAGTCTCAAAAGTGGACGAGGCGAAGCTGGGCTTACCGAGCCAATGGCTCCGTACCTCCGGCTACTTATTACTAGGCAAGGCAGCTGTTTGCGCCTAGGAGAACGTCTATCGGGTGGTTACGCATATAGGGCCTTGATATAGGAGAGCTGTAATTTTAAGCCCCTGAGAGGGGTAGTTGATCTTACAAGTGAATGAGCTTTCGCTTATAGACGAGTTCGTGCGCTTTGACCGGTTTAGAGTTCTGTCCTGCTTGACTAAACCTTTATCCGCCACAATGCCTTGAGTGCTACGGTACAGACCCTTGAGCCGGATTGCAGGGGCTGCGGCTCAAATAGGATGGGACGTCGCTCGAATCTGTAGATTGCCTCCTCCATGCCTCGCTAACGATACGTAAGTTCCGGACGTTGAGAAGATGTTGTCATTTGCAGTGCTATATCTGCTTTGTAAGCTTTTTCGAATTTATTTAATAGAGAGATGGGTACTGATCATTCGCAAAGTGAGCGCCGCCTTTGCGCAGGGTGGTGCAAATTCCAATGCCCTGCAGAGCAACGAGTCTTACGACTACATAGTAGTCGGCGAGGCGCGGCAGGACTAGTCGTCGCTGACAGGCTCTCCGAAGCAGGCCACAGCGTCCTGCTGATCGAGCGGGGCCCGCCCTCGTCAGGAAGATGGAAACCCAACGTGGAAACTGCTGCACTACCCTTTGACAACTGGAGGCCAGGGTGGCTAAACGGTACCAACCTGACCCGGTTCGACGTCCCCGGACGGAGTCCTTTACAACCCCCAAGGATACAATGTCGTGTCTGCTGCCCTGGCAGCGGCTGGCTGGAACAATGTAACGGCGAACGAGGTGCCCGACGAGAAGAACGGGACGTTCAGCTACGCGAACTATCACTACAGGTACGGGTACCGCAACGGACCGGTGGATACGTATCTCGAGACGGCCAGATCGAGGACCAACTTCGCCCTGTGGACAGACACCGGTGTGCGCCGCGTGGTGCGGGATGGCGGCCGAATCACAGGCGTGGAACTGGAGTCGAACTCGCGCGGAGGAGAGGTTGTTAACGTCACTGCCAACACAGGGCGTGTGATCCTCCCTGCCGGGTATTTCGGATCACCGAAGATCCTGTTCCGGAGTGGTATCGGGCCTGATGAGCAGTTACAGGTCGTCGCCGACTCGGAATCCGACGGACCGACTTTCATTGATAAGTCGCAGTGGCTTCGACTGCCGGTTGGGGAGAACCTCAAAGATCATCAGGTGACCGACTTTCAGATCTCGCATTCTTGTGTCAAGAACCATGACTGGTCGAACCAAATATGGGCCAACCCGGTTCAGAGTGATGTCGAGCAGTATTTGCAGAACCGCAGCGGCATGTTGGCAAGCCCTCCAAACAACCACGGCAGTCAGGATTATGTCTAACAGTCAAAAGTGGCCTGGGAAGTCCTCGACGGGTCTCTATTCTCCGATGGCAGGTCGAGGCAGATACAGTGGACAACAAGAATCCAGAATCCTGGGCCTCCTCACAACGTCTTATCGTTATCACAGTTTGTAGGGCGTGGCTCTTCCTCCGTTGGTCGTCTCACCATCAACTCGAATGTAAGAAATTGTCCTCGCCATCGGCAGAACTATTCACATCCACCCAGCACCCGGGACCTGATCTAATACGTCTGCTAGATGACGATTTCATACGCGGAAATCCCTTATTTCCAGACAGATGATGACAAGAAAGCTTGTGTCATTGCCGGTGAGCGCATGATAGCTGCTCTAAGGGCAGACCCGGAGATAAGCCTGGTGAAGCCAGCTTCCAACCAGACCGTTGCGGAATACGTCAACAGTGTGAGTCAGCCTGTGCTTGCTGAATCTGCTGCATTCCAGTGACCAATTGCCCTATCTCCGACAATTTCAGTCACAATATGGGATATGTAGCTAAATGATCTCGGTTCAGGTTGCCATCCGCATCGCATCACGCCGCGGACTCCACCTCATGGGCACTGCGAGAATGGGAGCCGACAGCGGCCTAAATAGCACTCAGGGACAGGTCGTTGTGGATTCTGACACCCGGGTATACGGGACAGACAACCTCTTTGTCGTGGACGCCAGTATCCTGCCCGGGATGGTGACAGCGAACCCCACAGGGACGATCTTTTCCGTGGCGGAGAAGGCGGCGGAGAGGATCCTCAGTCTCTCGAATATTGCCAAGGCGAAGAGGGGTGTCTTTTGAGATGGGCTAGCTTCACTCAAAGCCTACTAGCTGGGTAAAATACTTGAAGATTTTCTCAAGCAGACCCCTGTAGCATAGTGAATGTTGAGCTCAGCATTCTAGTCCTTGGGTCCCACTCCATAGTGTTCGTCAGTGTATAGCGATCCGACGGGGACACCACGGTTGTCGGCATTCAGTCCGATGAGTTGTTGCCCGACGTCTTTGACTTTGTTGTACTGACGAAGGAGTTTGATGTGTTCGCTTACGGTCGACTCGGCCGGTTGTCTGTAATCCCGTCAGTTATCTTGTGCCGGAGTAAGACAATAAGAGTATTCAGAATGTGTAAGAGCACTGGCGAGGTGACTCACCTGAGACGACTTTGGCGTTCTTCGAGCTCTCGATGCTTCTTAATGACCAGCACGCAGTGGTGGTACATGCCTTTTATTATCCGACACTGGGTAGTTAGTGTGGTTTTCAAACTTGACTTGGCTAGTAGACACTTACTGCAGCATCAACTCCGGCGACGAATGCAATCTGAGTACCCAGCCATCAGAAAATTATCAACTTGAATTCGTTTAAGTGCTTGAGATTCACTGGCTTACCGTGCGCGAGGCATCGTCAGGACTGCTGACATGCACTTGAAAGTGATCATCAGGACCGGGCCCAGTGATGCTGACTTCAGGCCCTCCCTGCGAAGCGCGTGCCTCGGCTATTACTGGACCCCAGACATCAGGAAGAGGTGGGAGCGCAGCCAATGTGTGGTCCTGTTGACCTTGTTCACTTCCAACGCACTCGACCTGGATCCGTTCCTTGAAATGACCCAAGTGACGAAGTATGGCCGTCGATAATCCCCCACAGTCTCGGTCATTGGCCGTTTCGGCGGACAGGGAGCCTTGGAATTCCTTGATAAATTCACAGTCGGCAGCCGACAGTAGTGTGGTATCCTGCGCGACGGCATCCACCTGGTCACCAACCGCGGTATGCGGCGGACCCATCGTGCGGACAGGATGTGACGTTATGCCTGGCTGACATCAGTTCCTTGGTGCTCTCTTGTTTTCAACTACTCGAGCAGCATGTTTGGACGAGATTCAGGATCTCTTGGGTCTGGATTTGGTGTTTCTGGCTGGAGACAGGGAGCTGGACGTGGTCTCCCGGTGCCCGCCCTCAGCGGTTGCAGGACGCAGCTGCCTCTGCAAACTCGACCTCGATGGCTGGATGCCCTAACCCTGTCCTCATCTCGGATTTGAGTGGCACCAGACCCAGGGTTCAGGGTCGTGGTGGGTGGAAGATCTCGGCAAACCGCCCGATGGTGGCGAGCTCGAGGGCAGACAAGGGCAGACCCATGAGGAGATCCCCTGTGCCAATTCTGTCAACTGAGCTTGGCTCTTGTAAGGCCACACGCCAAGGGCCTACATGTTGGCTTTGGGGCCTTGGCTCCCATGAGGCCACAACTTGGGCCCACCAGAGAGTCCAACCCAGGCAAAAGACCATCTCGACCGACAGCACCAGCAGAAAGCACAAATCCAAGAGATGGAACAAAAGACGCCGCCTTGGTACATCTGGCTGATTCGACACATGACCCCTAAGATCTCTATGGTGGCGCCATATCTGCCACTGGCCCTGCATTTCTTCGTGTCGTTCTAGACTCCGACGAAAACACTCCGCCTCCGGCCGCTGTCGCAGCCTGGGCGATAACCATGTCCGGCTTGTGCTCCCGCCAACTGGCGTCCCAACATCGGGCTGCGCGACAGTGGCCCTTGGGTGCCGTTGCAGCCGGATGACGCGCAGAACCTGCACAGCTCGAGAGATAAGCGGATGCCCTCGACGTCACGGTCGCAGAGGACGGCTCGGTCATGCTGGGGCAGTCCAATGCGCAACGGATTTCCGGCGAAATTATCTCAAGTACGACCTGAGGAGGTCGTTGGATCTGGGGGCGGGGACTGTCGTGGAGGCGAGCCTGTCTCCATCCACCGCAGCTGCTGCGCTGGTATGGGGGAACTTTGCGGAGGAGTGGGTCCGGGCGGGGAGCACGAATGAGGCCCTCGCAGACTTTGATTTGAACGCTTGCTCAGGGCACGATCGAACGGCCCGAATGGCGAGCCTCGACGGTGGGCCGCGACTAGATTCGGCGCGCCTGTTCTGTCAGACTTTGTCAGGGAAAACACGGCGTCCTGCGCTGGCTCGGCTATCCAGAAAACGGCGAAGGTCAACCGCGGCCAGAGGATGAGGAGGACCCTTGGATGTGACCCGTCATTGATCGACTTCGCGCGTGTCTTTTTTCGGGGCCATTCGGCCACAGCCGCGTTCGCTGCGATTGATGGAAGAACTCTGGAGTCACTCCACTCTCAGCGAGACTTTCCTCAACAACACGTTACTAAGTCGCCCAAGTACCTCCTGCTGTTAAGCCTCTTTTGTCGAGCCCGCGCAGCAAACCTCGCCATTGACAGCCAAGCGGTGTGCGCCGCTTAACAGCTGCCCCTGTGGGCGTCATGTCATTACGGCCCATCATCTGCTCCCTGCGACAGGTGCTGTGCTCGTATCATCAGCTATGCTGCGCGGTCTTCTCCCTCCCCACGGGGCATCATGGACGCCCTTATTATATCCGGGGTCAGACTGCCACGGACCCAACTGCTGAGCTTCTGGACTCGTCTCACATGGTCATTCCAAACTCTATTATTGACTCTCGTCTCATCATCAAAGCATTTGCTAGACCACCGACTCTTTCATCTAGCCACACAACAACCGCACAAACATGGCGATAATGGGGCGTAAAGGATACGCCTGGTAAGTCAACACTAACCACTCAAGCACAGAAACTCCGAGGAAAGTTTCGAGCTGACAATCGTGTCAAGGTTCTGCGCACTATCCGCAGCTATGTGCAACTCCTACTACGGCTTCGACGCTTCGGTGTTCAACGCCGTCCAGGGCTCCGACGCTTGGCTCAACTGGATGGGCAACCCTGGACCAAACCTGGTCGGAGGTGTCAACACTGCCTACTCCGTCTGTGCTATCATCAGTGGATGGTTTATCGCCGCCCCGACTGCCGACTTCCTGGGCCGGAAAACAGCCATGGGTATCGGGACTATTCTCATCATGATCAGTGCAATCCTGGAGACATGCACCCCAAAAGGCCAAATCGCATGCTTCATCGTGGGCCGTGCCGTCAACGGTCTTGGCCAGGGCATCGCTCTATGTATGTTTTAACCATCTCGCTCCAGGAAACTTGATAGAGACCAGCCCTGCTAACTAAAAATTATAGCTGCTGGACCTTCCTACATTGGAGAGATCACACCCGCCAAGATCCGTGGAATTGTCATGACATTCTGGCAGGTGGCATACAGGTAAGCTTCATGTGGTCACACCCTCACCTCTTATTCTACTAACACAGCTTGCTAGCGTTGGGCTTTTCTTCGCCTTCTGGATCAACTTCGCATGCACAAAATACCTCGACCGTCTGCCCGAGAATTGGGACTGGAGGATCGTGTGTATCTTTCAGCTCATGGTTCCAATCTACGTGCTTTGTGTCCTTCCGGGTCTTCCCTTCTTCCCCTAGATGGTGAGTGACGATGGTGATCTGCCCGCCCCTCAGATGGTGCTTCTTGCTGACAGCTGTATCCCATACAGGTGCGTTAAGAACAACAAGCTCGAAAAGGCCCGAAGCTCGCTTCATGCCACCCGATTCAGCTCGGAAGAGGCCGAGGAAGAACTGCAGACTATCGTTCAAGCCGTCGAATTCGAGAGGAACAGCAAGGAAACATCGTCGGGATACGCAGCGCTGTGGAAGGACAAGAGTGTCCGCAAGAGGCTGCTACTTGCGCTCGGTATGAATGCTGGTCAGCAGCTTACCGGCCAGGGGTCCCTCACGACATACTCTACAAAGATCTACCAGGGTGTCTTCGATGACTCGTCCACTATCGCCCTCATCAACGCCCTCAACGCCACACTCTCCATCCTCTTCTGTCTCAACGTGACCTGGATTGTTGAGAGATGGGGGCGAAAAGTCTTATTTATTGTTGGTGGCGCCGGTCAGTCTTTCTTGAAAACACACTCGATACATTCGCATAACTAACATCCCCTTAGGTATGGCATGCTGTATGCTTATCGTGGCGACCGTGGGCTCGCAGACACCGACCGGAGCCGACGGCGCCAAATCATACCCCGTCGGAGTGGCGATCGTGTTCCTGCTCTTCCTGTTCATATTCTTCTACAAGCCCTCGTGGGGCGCCGTCACCTGGATCTGGTCTTCCGAGATCTTCTCGCTCAACGTGCGGGCCCAGGGTGTCGGCATGGCCGGCCAGACGCAGAACATCGCCAACGCCATCGTCCAGCAGTTCTTCCCGCTCTTCCTCGAGGACTGCGGCTTCTACGCCTTCTACATGTTCGCGGGTATCAATTGCCTGCTCGTCTGCTACGTCATCTTCCTCATCCCAGAGACAAAGGGCGTCCCGCTCGAGGAGATGGACAAGCTCTTCGGCGGCGCCAGCCACGTCCAGGGCGGTGCCATGATGCGCGAGGACACCGACGTCACAACCACCGAGCACCACCGGCCCATCTCCAAGGGCACCACCGATCACAGCGGCAGACATGTCGAGGGCTCGGCTACGCCCGAGGAGAAGTGAGGTATTCGATGCTGACGAAGTTGACGACGAAACTTGTTTATTTTCCGTGCCACGAAAACGATAGGCAATTAATGACGAGCGCTGGGGGCGTTTCTTCACTGGAGCTGAGGTGTAATTGGTGGTTTCCTTAGAAGAGGCTATCGTGGGAAAGACGGTCCCTAGACCATTGATAGACCAGCTGTATAGATGTGTGCCGCGTGAAGCGTGCCACAACTCAATCCCGACGTTTATATACACTCAAATGCATACCCTATTTTAACTCTACCAACGATTTTTTAACGTAAATGCATGAGAACCTTAATGCAACGTTTTGCCTCTGAAATCTTTTCTCGCGACTGCTTTTTATCAATTGCCAGAGGACTGCTCGAGGGTCGCCTATTGTCTCGACGAGCAAAATACGGTATACCGGCACAGGCAGCAGCTACAAGAGGAACAGCTGCGGTGTGGCACAGGTGGGCCCGTACAAGGGATTCAGTAACAGCAGCCTGGTACCCAATCCGTCGCCACCGGGACGCACAAGTCAGGGGCTACGGGTGCGCCAGGGGTCAAAGAATGGGGCTTCGACTTCAGGAACAGAGCAGACCTCGGACAGCCCCGGAGGTACCGGGGCGGGATTAAGGGAGTAGTGCTCGGCTGTATGCAAGGTTAAGGACGACCTTTCCTGAGAGAATGTGACTGCCGGGAGGCGTTGTCCCGACACATTACTAAAAAGTTTACTTCTGGTTTCCTTTGGGGTGCTTATGAGTAGTCTCTTTTTTTTTCTTTTCTTCTGGATGAAGTCATCCAAGGCACATTCAGATAAGCCTGGTGGAGTATAATCTTAGACTAAAAGTTTATACGGGCTTGTATTTACTTCATGGGTTTCATACTAGGGCCATTATAAGTCATAAGACCTACTTAATGAAAACCCTACTCACATACATAATACAACCAGCCACTCTAGTCAGTTTAAATGCTTCGTTTGACTTAAATATCTCAGACTGGAAGTATTAAACCTGGCAAGACAGACTGAATGTTTTAAGACCTACTGTAGTTAACAGGGCCTTGAAAACAAGTGGTGGTGTGCATAATTAAGGGTGTGCTTAGGTAGGTCTATGGCTTACTAGGTATACTACTAGTATTCTACCATCAAAGTCTATAGTGAGCCGACATACTCAGCTAAAAGAACAATAGTGTGGATGAACTGACCGCTTTGTGTCAAATAAGCTCTGATCAGTAAATCATTCAGATTCTTCGTTGATGTCAATTACACAAATCTGATCTATTCACAAGATATTATTTTCCATCTACATGCGAACTTATAGACTACTCAATACCAATCGACCCTTCCCGAGTTTAGAACTTGAAACAAAGAAATGTACAGAGCCTATCAGTGGAATCATATGGCGGGACGTTGTTGCTTCTCTTGTCCCCATCAATCTCCTTAAACAGCCAGAGGATCAAGCTCACTCGAACTGCCCTTCTCCCAGGGGTGCGTTCTCTCAATCTGGCGAATCAAGTCCTCATGCTTAGAGCTCCTAGGCCTGACGCTTGCCTGGAATGGTTCGGGGTGGCTAAGGATCCCTGGTGAGAACTTCACGGCCGGCTCAATCTCGTTGCCGGCGTCATCCCGGGATTTTGAGATATCGAACACGGCCAACGACCGGGAGAGCGTCAGCCACACGGATGCATCTGCGAGCATCTTTCCAGGGCAGGCACGCCGGCCGAACCCGAAGACGTAGTCGTACGGGTCTGGTGCAGGAGTGGGTCCAAGAAATCGTGAGGGGTCAAAGACTTCGGGATTCGGGTATACGGACGGGTCATGTGCGAACCACCTGAGTTACAGTCGGTCAGCATCACTGGCGGGCTTTGTCTGGGGGGTGAGGAGCAGCGTGATTTGGGAGAAGCGTGTGAAGAGTAAGATGGGTGAGAGCGGGCACGAACCAGATGTTGGGAATAATAATGGCTCCCTTCGGTATCAAGTAACTTTGATAGACATCGTCCTCGGTGATCTCGTGCGGGAGCCCCATGGGCGCAATTGGATGCCAGCGAAACACCTCCTTGAGAACAGCCTCGACGTACGGGAGACTGTCGCGGTCCTTTACATTCGGGAGACGTCCGTCCCCCACCACACGGTCGATCTCCTCCCTCGCCTTACGCTGCACTTCGGGGTGCAGCATCATTGCCAGGAAGAAGGTGGCCATGGAACTAACCGACTGCGATAAAAGATTAGCAGGCCGAAACCAAAGCGGCGGCTCAAGAGGTTTTACCGTGTCAGCACCCCCTGTGTACAAGGACGCTGCGCTGAATTTAAAGACATGTTCCTCCTCGGCACTGAAGTTGCCGTCGGCCTTCTCGTAAAGCGCAGACACGTAAGACGGCTCGTAATGCTGCTCCTTCATCTGCTTCCTGACGAATTGCATCGGCCTCTCAGCGAGTTCCGTCAGAGTAGCCTTCCACTTGACTGCGGTCTTTTGGAACTCAGCCCCTGGCGCCCATTGGGGAAGGTGTCTCACTGGGACTAGTTAGCGGCTGGTGGCACAGGACTATAAATGGGTAACTGACATAGGGGGATAGTGTCGACCAACCAGGCACCCGGAACGGTGGCCGCCGAGAACTGTAAGAGCGCCGCGTCGGCTATATCCACCAGCGGGTCTCGCTTATGCGGCTCGATCGTGTAACCATAAGCCATCTTCAGGATTATTGCTCCAGCCTCGCTACAATATTATCTCAGCCCTGCCGTCAATTTGGGTGGAGGTGGAGGGTTGGGGCGGGGGGAGTGGTTGTGGTTTAATAGGGATGCTCACGTCCTAATATGATCCAGTAGATTGGTCGGATTGTTAAGAACCCGAAGCAGGAACCGATGCACCTCAACCTCCTGGAGATCATTGTATCGCAATACGCCTGCTTTTGTTCCCACTAAGGCGTGAATCGGTCTTCGATACGATCGGAAGCGTTCATTGTAGGTCTGGGTCGCGAGAAGGTCTTCCCAGCCGCACATTTCGTTTCCAAAGATCAAATTAGGCCTCGATGAATAAATCAAAGATCGCTTATCCAACAGCTCGTATGCCACGTCAGGTGAATTCAGCACGACAATCGTGGTTCCAAGGGCGGTGACGGAACTGATTGGTCCTGCAAATCATTTTCTGATATGAGCATCAACTGGGGCAAAATAGAATGAGAGTATGAGACTGACCATAAATGTCTTTGTGTTTGAGCCAGAACTCCCATTCCCGGACACCAGTCTTGGGCATATCAGTAATGTTTCCCAATATTGGCCAAGGCTTTGGTCCTGGCGGCAATGGATACGGCTTCTTCTTTCTGAGCAGGATCGCAATCCTGACGGCCGCATATGCGACAATCGCCAGGATAAGGTTGCTCACGATATCTGCGCTGAAGAACATGATGCTGTATCTGGGCGTGATCTGTACGGTAGGCGGCCTGAAAGCTCACCCGGCTGTTCTTTCTCGATGAGAGAAGGGCGAGGTGTCTAGTAATTATCTATTTACGAGCGTCAGCAAGATACCGGAGACGGGTTAGATAATTCCAAACTCTTTATGCGCGCGATTGCGATGAAATGAAACCCCCTCAATTCTGTCGTGCTACCGGCAATAGTGTTCGCGACGATCAGCGCACAAGTGCTTACGCCCTCCAACAGCCGAACAGCAATTTGCAACATCCAGTTAGGCTTGTATTACGCCAAGAGGGTGTGCTCCACTGCGACTGTCACGCAAAACCTGGAGATAGTTGGCTGGATTCATTGGACCACGTGGTATCTTGTTTGGTGCTACTTGCCATCTTGTGCAAGCTTTTCATTTCCCTGCACCCGCCGGCGCCTCCACGGGTTGTCCCTCTGTCGCTGCTGATAACCCTCGTGGTACCAGAATCTGGCGGCCTTCTGCCACGTGCACTTCTTCGGGCTCGCCTGGTCTGGTTCGTCCTACCGTCCCAAATGCTCTTTGCAGTGCCGACTCCCATTGCCTTTGGACTCCTTCTTGGACATTTCTTTGCTGTTTGAACTGGAAACTGGAGTCCAGGGCCCTGAACTGCCGCACAAAATCTCGCAGGCTGTTCAAAGCACCTATTTCAACCTTGAGCTTGAAGCTGTAGATGAAGTCCTTGACTTTGATTTGCACATAGTTGTAACCCATATATTCCAGAACTGCGCAAGGGGCAGCCAACGTCAGCCGTAACTCGCTGAAAGGGTTGTGTCCTTTTCAACATAGTGACCGTGACGCAAGACAGACAAGTTTCGAGAGACCTTGGCCACAATTGGAACACTTTGCTTACCAAGAATATTTAAATCCAGAAGCAGAACAACCAAGTTTGCTAGGATGAGCGATCTTAGCGTACTCTTCATCGCTGCGGTCTCCTCGGATTCCATCCTCCGTCCGTATTGCCTCAAGAAGTGCCTGCACCGCCACAGGTATAGCATGGATAGAGTGATCTCCTGCACAAAGAAGACGGTCACTTCTGTCCGCTCCATTATGTCGTATGCTTTTGTCAGCGACTGCGTCTGCAAAGCTCTCGCTAAAATGTTGATCGTAAAGGCGCCTCCGTGCATCGTCAACCCGTTAAAGATGATCATCGTCAGAAGGAAATTCATGATACGATTGTCGACCCAAAGCAGGTGAAGCCTCGAGTACAGGACAAGCGACTGGCCCGTGACCATTGGGATCCAGCCGGCCGAGCCCAAGACCACCACAAGCATGCTGTTGTGCCTGCCGAGGCTGAAGTCAATGACCTGCGCCACCGAGCATATGATGACCCCGAACGCGGCCAGCATCAAGCTCCAAAAGTAGAGCGTCCGCCGCCGCTTGAAGGTCCACCACACGACGAGGACGATCTCGCTCGCGTTCCACAGCCCTACGCCCGCAAGACATGCTAGTGCGAACCACAGTCCTTTGTTGGTTTCCACAATCGACACCGAGTCTCGTCCCATCAGGCGTGGTGGACTTGGGCTCATGGCGGCGCCCTGTAAGGGGTCGGACGGTGAGATGCCTCCCATGCTAGGAGACCTGTAGACTCAGAAGATGATGGGTGTGTGCGGGAGGGGGCTGGGGCGTGCCGTCCTCAAACGTAGTGTGCACTATACCGCTGCGGATGATGGAAGGATGTGCTCCGATTTAAGCCACATTGTAGAGCTGGCACACACTGCCAGCGAGAAGGCACGGATGCTGAAATGAGGAAATTGTCCACCACGGGCCCCATGATCTAGGTGGGGTGAGCTCGCCGGTCGAAAGGCGTCTGAGCGGGCAAGGAAGGTTTGTCCCGACCGCCGACCAGGATGATACTCTGCGGCGAGCACGACAATTAGACTTTGCTTCCTTCCTTGCCAACATTGCCTCGGCCAATTGCCTCTGGGGACGAGACGTATCAACCCGTTCTAGAAGGCAATGGGACCTGTGCCTCATGCCCTATCGACAACCCCACAGGCCAATATCACTTCTCGTACGTGTTTGTACTGCGGTAGGATATGCTTGGTCAACAGTGCAAAGTTTAATATCTGCCCATGACTCGGTGTACGTTGATCAATGGCTACGACTCGTACACATCGCGATCGGCCGAGGCCCTCCAGCGCACACATCCAGGTAACCTGGGACGACTGACTTAGAACTAGACACAAATACACATGTTGCGAAGATGGTCCGAGAAAACATCGAGGCATAAGATGCTTCACTTGCATAGGAGGCAAATGGCCGTATTCGTTCATACGAAATGGTTCACGTAACTCTCATGAGCAAGTCATGGGTCGGGAAGACTTTCCATGTTCGGCCAAGCAGGCAGTGTTTGCGCGGGCATCTGGGAGAGTCTTTGTCTATCCTTTCCGCGGAACGAGCCTGGCCTGTGGACGCGTCGTGAGCGGACCCCAGTCTATCGAGACAACAACATCAAAGGACGAAGAGAATAGTCTCGAAACAATTCTTGCACCATCCATGTTCTTCTCTCGCTGGAAGTATGAAGTTGTCAGAGCTGAAACGACTCCCGCCTTCAACACAGTCAATCGAAATCGCAAGTCATGCGATAGAGGCCGACGGCTCGCGAGAAGGACATGAAGCCAAGACCTCACTGACTTTGTTTAACCTTCAGCCGACTGACCTCGCACAATCGTTTGGCTCCAGAATGGGCTCTTGGTGGGTGTCCTGAATGTCTGTTTCTTGGAGGAGTACACATCGAACGATTTGAGAACTACGCACTGCACATTCGCAACCTACCAACCTGAGGTAGGTATTGCCTACTTTAGAGCGAAAGTACCCATAAGCCTGTGCCCTCACGTTTCCCATCAAAACCTTCCAATCCCTCAGAAGATGGCCAATGCGTTTGGCGGGGAGGCGACGAGTCCAGGGTGATTCAATGGAGCCGATGTCAGCATAAAAGAATACCGACCGGTCTTCTTACAGTACGACGAGAGTTCCTTCAGATCCCATAGCTCTCCTATGGGCATGCCGAAGAGCGAAAGAAAGTATTGGTGGAGGACTGAGCAGTCTGTCAGCAAGCAGAATCCACGCGAGGCGAGCTCGGAACTAAATCTCACCCAGATCTCCAGCGCCGCCTATTGTGCCATCCGGCTTGACTGGCGGGTACGCCTCGAACGACTGGCTATCGCCTGCAACGGCAGAGAAATGCTTGTTCCAAACCCATTTTGCCGTCTCAGGGATTCCGTGCAACCCCGACAGTGTCGCGTTTTGCATCTTGGCAAAGTCCTCTGGTGTAGGGTTCTCCCCTAAACCATCTCATGTCAGTCTTTCCCATTTCTGAAAGGTTCGAGGCTCAAGTCTGCTTCAACAAGTAAGAATCCCGAGTCTCGCTTGAGACTCTTGTGTACGACTTCTTGTCCATTGAGAGAGCTGAACCGGTCACTAAATTGCGTAGGTATCTCTTACAGATCTCAGTCACCCCCGTTCTGATGATCAAGATGTCCCCACGGCGGAACTCGACGCCCTGATGGCGCGCCACCTCCTCCACGTCTTCGACAGTGATGCGGTAGCCATCAAGACAGTGGTATGGCTTGGATTGGGACTCCATGTAAGCTTTGAAGTCAATCAAAACTCCGCGACCGACAAGCCCTCCGCGAGAATGCCAGTGATCAATGGTGGGCTGTCCATTTTCCGCGGTGGTTTGAGGCGATGCGAGAGCTTCCTGCGTCGGCTTGATCCCGTTGTATGCCAGGCCGGAGGGCTGGTGTTGCACATGGACCAGGCTGTCCCACTGACTGCTGAATTGCGTGTTGAACTCGAGCTCGTCATCCCAGCCGTGGCTGCCGGGCGGCATTAGTCCGTTGGAGGAAAGGGACAGGACCTTGTGAGCGGGTGACCTCCGGCCGGGCAGAGGGATTTTGATACCATTGAGAGGCCAACTGTGAAGGATTGTCAGCATAACATCTTATGAACAGTGCCGTCCACATTAGTTCCTCTTACTTGAGGGAGATTGACACTCCGTCCTTGATCTCCGTTGCAGCCGCCGCGACGACGTCCGGCGTCAGAAGGTTGAGCGTGCCCAGCAAATCCTTCTTGCCGTCCTTGTCAAACACGCCCCATGCACAGCCCTGGGGCATGCCCTCTACCTTTGGGAGGTCATCGAAGTCGGGGATGCCCATTGTCGATACCTAGAGACAATAACTTTCTGTAGTTACGCCAAAGTGGGAATGAAGCCTACTGCGGACAATTTGTTCTGAGAATGAGACAGGATTACTGCAAGTACCAGAAGCTGGCGATTCTTGCTCTTCACTTCTTTACTGTGTAGTAGAAGCAGGTCTAATACGTCGTAATTGCCTCACTCAAAACCCCCTCTTTTGGTGTAACGACGTGGCAGGATTGCACTGTCTATCTCAAACGAAGTGATGCCCCCCCCCTGTCGTTTTGGTTAGCTGTCCCCCCCCGCACCAAAATTTGGCTGTGAACGTAAAATACGCACTAAGATTCTTATAAACACCCTTATTAATGTTATTACGTACTTAATTTAGTAAAAGAAAGGTTATTATAACCTTATTTTGCATATATCTTTAAAATGGTTGGGAGTAATAAAATTAACTTAAGCTTATTATATTAAGGGGTATATGCTTTATTAGCCTTAGCTTAAGGTAATTATAGCTTATTTAAATTAGCAAGTAATTTATTTTAATAGCCCTTAAAAAGCAAAAGCCTAGCTATTATAATTATATACCTATTTATAATGCTAAATTATTTATTTTATTAATAAGGTATATATTAATTAATTAATAGCGTTATTATATATAAAAAAGCTAATAATAAAGATAAAGGCTGCTATTATTATAAAATAAAAGCTAGCAGTTTAATTAAAGCCTTTTTAGGATAAATAAATAGCTGCTTAATATATTATTTAGCATATTGCTAAGAATGTTAAGAAGGTTGCCCTTAAAGCTATCCTTAATAAGAATAATACTTTAGGCAGCTTAAATAAAGCTAAAAGTATTTATATTAATTAAAAAACATTAAGTATATTTAAATTATTATTATTAACTAATAATATTAAAGGTAGCGATATTAAGGAGTTAAAAAGCTATTCTTTATTAAGAAAATTATTAAAGAAAGCATTTTTAATATTATATATAAAAGTTATTAGCATAAAGGCTTTTTTAATGCCGTTAATAAAGTAATAAAGCTTTAAGTTTAGTAATAATAAATATAAAGCTTTTAATATTAATTTACTGCTTAATAAACTTTTTTTTAAAATAAAGAATTAAGTTAAGGCTAAGCTTATTAATATAAGAAATATAATAATTAAGTTATTATAAGTTTTATTTAAGGTAAGTTATTAGCTATAAATAAGAATATTCTTAATTTAATTAGGTATAATAAAAAAGATTAAAAGGTATTTTAAAGGAAAACTTCCTAATAATAAGATTATAAAGATGCTTTTATTAAGCAAGGGTTTTTATTATCTTATAATTATATATACTTATAAAATAATATTCTTAATAATGCAAATAACGCCTTATAATATTGCAATGCTAAGGTAATTAAATATTAAAATCTTTAAGCTTTCTTTATTAGCAAAGTTAATGCCTAGCTTAGCAAATAATTTGCTAATAGCTAAGCGCTTAAAAAGTATTCCTTTAGTAAGAAAGTTATTATTACCTTAAGGCCCTTAGGAAGAATTAATTATTACTTATATAATAATTATAATAAATAATAATTAATTACTTATCTTTAAGGCCTATAAAAAGCTAATATAAATATAATAATGCTTTAAGGGTCTTTATTATAAGGCTAATCATTATCATTATAATAAAAAGAACTCTTTATAATAATAATATTATATTAAAAAGAATAGTATATATATAAATATTATTAATATTAATTTAAATATATAAGTATAAGCAATAATTAATAATAAGGCTATTATTTAAAAGCCTTTAAAAAAGCTTTTTATTAAGTAAATAAATGCTATTAAAGCTAATAAAAGTAATAAGAAACTTAATAATAATAGTATTAGCTTTATATATAAATAAAAAAAGTTTAAAAAAGCAATAAGTAAAGAAAGAGCAATATTAATATAATAATTAACTTATTAATTAATCTTTATACTTTTAGCTTTAAGTATAAGCACTTAATAATGCTATTATTAGCGCCATTAGCGCCTTTATTAATATACCCATTAAGGGGCTTTAAAGGGCTGCTAATACTGCTAATACTAGCAGCTTTTTACTTAGGCAACCCTATATACCATTATTAATTACTTATGCTTTTATTATTGCCGCTATAAATACTTAATAATTAAAAAGCTTTTAATAAAGACTTTATATTTAAGGCCTTATAAAAGCATTTTTATATATTAATAAAAAGAAGGTAATTAATAAAATTATAAAAGATTATAAAGTATAAAGGCATTAATTTTTAAGCCTTATATTTAAAGAAGGATATTTAATTTAATAAGAAGGGCTTAAATAGTATTAAATTAATTAAAAGGCTTATAAAGCTATATTTAAAGGAAAGGGAGGATTTTTTTAAGCTTTTTAAAAGCAATAAAGAGGAAGAGGGCTTGCTATTGCCGTTAATATCAACATAAGATAAGAATTATAATTTTTAATAAGCAAAAAGCTCCTTAATATTAACTAATAATATATTAATATTAAAGAGTAAATTTAAGGCATTTTTTAATAAATTTTAAGTATTTAATTAATATTATTTATAAGAGAAAAAGTAATATAATTAGTAAAAAAGTTAATAAAGTAATTATATATAAAAAAAGAGTATTTATTTAAATGTTTAAAGAGTTAATTAAGAAAATTAAGTATATTTTTTATAGTAAATTATTAGCTATCCTTTTTTAATTACTTTAATAATACTTTTTTTTATTAACTTTCTTATTCTTAAAAAACTTATTATAAATAACCTTATTGCAATACTTTTTCCTTTTTATTAATGCTGCTTTTTTTACCTTTTTTTTAACTATATAGCATTTTTATTACCCTTTATTATTATTATTACCCTTAAATCTTTTCTTTAATATATATGCATAGCAGAAATATCTCTTAATTACCTTTATATACTAGCTAATCTTTAAAGCGCTTAAGTATAAAAAACCTATAAATTTCTTATTATTATTATGGTTATCTATTTTATATTAATATTAATAATAAATATACTTTTTTAAATCTTTAAAATATGCCTTAATTAAGTTAAAATTAAGGAAATATAATGATAAATATATTAGCTAAATACCCCTTATCTTAATAACTATATAAATAACGTAATTATAATATTATAAGGCATTATTTATTATAAGGATTAATTAAGAGCTTAAATAGGCATTTATTTAAAGAAGAACCTTCTTAAAAAACTACGTTAAGAAGAACTTCTTTATTATATGCTTTTTATATATTATAATATTAAAAAGATTGCTAATTATAATTACTAGCAATAAATAAAAGCAAGCGCCTTACTTAAAAAGATTTTTAACTTAAGGAGTATACTTTAATAATGCTTAACCCATTCTTTTTACGCTATTATGCTTATTAAATCCTAATTTATTATAAAAGATAAACATTTTAGCAATATACCATAGCTTAAAAATCTTAAAAAAATAATAGTTTTAAAGGTTTTTATTACGCTGCTAAGCTAATATATACTTACTTATTAATTTAATTATATACCTTAAGGGCCCTTATAATAATCTTTATTAAGCAGTTAATTTAATATACCTTAATAAAAAAGCATTGCATTTTATTAAGGTATATATTTAACTTATTAAGGAAAAGATCTTTAAGCTTTTATATAATAATAAAAGGGCATTAGCAATGCTTAAAGGGCTTATTATGCTAAAAACATTATATACCTTTAAAGCCCATTGCTTTAATTTAATGGCATTTAATAGCAATAATAAGGGCATGCTTAACGCTATAATATTTATAATTATAACCCTCCTTTAATATTATTAAATTATTACCTTGCTGCATTAAAATTTAGCTTATAGCTATTTATTTAGTAATGATAAGTTTAAGCGTAAATAGAATTGCAATATTTATAATTCTATACTTAATAAATGGTAGCTATTTATTATGATAACCTTTTTTTTGCTAAATTAAGTGCATTAAGTAATGTTAATAAGGGTGTTTATAAGAATCTTAATGTATATTCCGCGTTTATAGCTAAATTTTAATGCAAGAGGGGATAGCTAACCAAAACAACAAGGGGGGGGCATCACTTCGTTTGAGACAAACAGCAGCTATCGTGGATTTGCTGCTCGACCCACTATTCTGGTCACCGCTCCCTGGCCCCGGGCATAACGTGCTGTAAGAAGCCGGTTGGGCCCTAAATCCTGAAGTGAACAAGCGAAGATTTAGCCCACAACGGCCTTCTGCACTAACAACCAACATCCGAACGGTTTTGCAGCTAGAGTGCGGCACAATCACCATCCTACCGAGAAAAGCCAAGGGCCTGGGCAAACAAATGGGGCTTTCGGACCATCCATGCCGGACTTGAATGCCGCCACTCGCAAGGGGGAAAAGATGTGCGTTTGATGCTTGTCATTTGCCATGCTGTTGGTAGACTGTTGGTAGACTGTTGGTAGGCTGGTCAATATAAAATCGAGGCCACATGGTACCCGATCACGAATACGCACTCCCGAATTCGAGTCAGGATGCTCCATTACACGTAGAATCTGCAGGTAGCCCGGAAGATCGACTCACGCATGCAGGAAGGGTCAACATCGCCATGAGGAGTAGGCCAGCTTCAAACCACATCGGCACGACACATTATAATCGTCGAAAGATCGCAGACCTGGGCAATTGAAAACGTAGACACAGATTATCATGATGCAACATGCAGTCGAAGGGGGCAACATATTGGTGCTTTGGAATTTGTCTTGCATTGGAGTGGCCCTTATATCCTACCATGCCTACCTATATCCTGCCCACCTGGGCAGGTTACACAATGGCCGCATCGGCGGCCTTTTCACACAACCCCTGGTTCCTCACAACTCAGGACTGGTGTGGGGAGCGGATTCAGAATGCAGAATGGATCGACTAGGCAGATCCACTTGCCCAAGTGCCCGTCCATAACAATAGCGTCCCAAGCTCTTGCATCTTCCCAGCGGCCTCTGGTTCAACCCCAGAGACGCTATACCAGGCCGTTATCAGGACGGCACGTCGAACCCGATTTATAGCTCAATCTCGCTCCACAGCCGAACCTCCAGTTCAGGGAGAGTGATATCCTGACGCCAACACTACTCCAACTCCCAGGACAAGATGAGTCCCCACGACAATGGAGTCACGGCGGCCAGCGACGTGAGCAACGGCACGCCAGACGCCGGCGCCATCATGCAAAAGTATGCCGATGAGGCTCAGAAGCGCGTTCTCCACCGGGCCCAAGGGCCTGGCACACTATGCAGACCTGCGCGCCATCGAATCCGGGCGGTTCCATGCTCTTGCCGAGGATCCATGGGCCGATCATGACGCCCTCAACGCGAGAGAGCCACCTCTCAAGGACGGCGACAAGGCGAAAGTGGTCATCCTTGGCGGAGGCTTCGGTGCGCTTCTTGCTGCAGTCAGACTCATCCAGCAAGGGTTTGACGCCGACGAGATCCGATTCGTAGACTCGGCGGGTGGTTTTGGAGGTACTTGGTATTGGAATCGGTATCCAGGTAGGTACTCACATGAGACCCTCCAGTGAGACGTGGCGACCAGAGTCTCCAGAGACTACTCTGGTTGACGCTCAGTTCTGACATGCTGCCCCCTGACAGGTCTGCATTGCGATGTAGAATCATACATCTATCTGCCATTCTTGGAAGAGACAGGCTACGTGCCGACGAAGAAGTACTCACCGGGGCACGAGATCTTGGAGCACTCAGAGAGGATCGTAAAGCATTGGAATCTCGCGGACAAGGGCCTCTTCAGGACCCAGGTCTCGGACCTGAAATGGAATGAGAGTGGCAGGACGTGGACAGTCAGCTTGACCGAGAACCGAGGGCCAGGCCAATCTCCCCGAGACCTGGAAGTGGAAGCGCAGTACTTTATCGTTGCATGCGGCGTGTTGTCACGGCCACAGGTTCCTAAGATTCCTGGGCTCGAGTCCTTCGCCGGAGACATGTTCCACATCCCGCTGGGACTGGAGTGTCACAGGAGGTACACCTACCGATGGAAACATGAGCAAGCTCGCGGGCAAGAGGGTAGGCGTCATTGGCACCGGCGCAACCGGGATCCAGGTGGTGCCCAGCCTTGCAAAATACGCCAAAGAGCTGTACGTTTTCCAACGAACTCCGTCGGCCGTCCACCGGCGCGACCAGCGGGCCACAGACCCGCACGAGTGGAAGACACAGATCGCCAATAAGAAGGGCTGGCAGGAGGAGCGGACACTCAACTTCACCTCGTACGTGTGCAGGAACGACGGCCCCGACGCGCTCAACCTGGTCGGCGACGAGTGGTCGAGAATCGATTCGTACCACGCCCAGCTCGGGTCCACTCGCAAGCCTCCTGTCGAGCCAACGCCCGAGGCCATCGGAGCCCACATCGCCGAGTTCGTAGGCCTGGATCTCCCTCATGGGGAGGCCACACGCAAGAGGGTCGACGACATCGTCAGGGACAAGGAAACGGCAGCCAAGCTCAAGCCGTGGTACCCCTCCTGGTGCAAGCGCCCGACCTTCAGCGACGAGTACCTGCAGGCCTTCAACCTGCCCAACGTGCACCTCGTCGACACGGATGGGCGCGGCGTCGAGTCGGCCACCGAGAAGGGCCTGGTGTTCGGCGGCAAGGAGTACCCGCTGGACGTGCTGGTCCTGTCTACCGGCTTCACGTCCCCGTCCGCCGGGAACGGAGACCCGGCTCTCCGTTCGGGGATCCGCGTCTCGGGTCGCGGTGGTTTGGTATTCCAGGACAAGTGGAAGGCGCGAGGAGCGACGACTTTGCACGGCATTCTCAGCCACGACTTTCCCAACCTGTTCTTCCTCAGTCCCCTGCAGGCGGGAAGTGCCCCGAACAACGTCCACATGCTGGATGTGCAGGCCCGGCACATTGGTTACATCCTGGGCCAGGCAAAGAGCAGGAACGCGGCGACCGTTGAGGCGTCGGCGGAGAGCGAGGAGGCCTGGAGCCTCATGTGCATGTCTGGTGCGGCGTGGTATGCGCCTATCCCGATGTGCACGCCTGGGTACATGACGAGGGAGGGAGAGGGCTTTGGCAAGCAGCCGGAACCTGCAGAAGCGATGAAGCTGGCTCGGGCATCGCCCTTGTCGGGAGGGTTGATAAGTTACGACGCGATCCTGACCGAATGGAGGGAGAAGGGCGATTTGGCTGGAGTGGTCGTCGAGCAATGAGACGCCACAGGGTCCTGGGGGGAACATGGGATCGCCTGCGGATCATGACCTCGGGGCCATTTGTTGTTCATTATTTCGATGCACATAAGAGGGTGCAACCAGAAGTGTTGGCATGTGAGAAGAACGAGAGACTTTGAGCTGTTCGTGCAACATTACATTACAATACAAGCGAGCACTAGGATCTAAACAAGTGGAGTTGTGCATTGGGAGACCCTCCTTTTGTTTTTGTTCTTCACCAAGTCAGGCAATTCAGAGATCTGCGCATCTCCAGTCAACCAGGGTTTCACGGACAATCTTCCCGTGCACCGTCGATCATGCACATCTATCTGTATGCGGCAAACTGCATGGTGAGCTGCTGCGATATTGATTACTCCGGCACAAGCAGTGATCGTCAGGAACGGCCTTTTTGAGATTAAAACTGGGCCGGAGGCGGCTGTGAAAACCGGAGCCTGGCAATGCGGAGATAACTGGACTGAATCGACCATGACGGCGACTGAGTTTGGACATGCAGTAGAGATTGAAAAGCTAATTGTTCAAAGTGTCAGTGTCGGCAGCTAAAAGTCTAAACGCAGCCAAGCGAGATAGATGAGCTCGTGTGCAACCTCTGAGGCTGCGTCCCTGAAGCCCCTGAAACCAGGTGTGACATGTGCGACTGTCAGACTTGAGCAAGGGAGACGCGTGTCTTGTAATCTTACCAAGTCTTTTTTGCCACAAACAGAAGTCTGAGGGAGACACAAAGCTGCTTATCATCAGTGTTACGATCGACAGCGGCTTTGCGCTGACACTGAGCTTTACGCCTTACGTAGTGGTACTGCCGCTTCCCGAAGCCACTGTCGTACACTGTAAACAGAAAGCAATGTCTGGGACACACGAACGCCTAAAAGTGGGTCAGGATTCAGGATCAACCTGGAGGAAGCCCCATTTGCAACCGCCTGCAAATTGGGATTCACAGTGCCAATCCACCCCGTACCAGTAAGCACCCGACAATGCCACTATGATTCAGGGGGAGCGACACGATTGTGACGTCCGTTCTTGCCATCATTGCCAAGCAGGGCACACGAGAAGCGCGGTCCCCTGACGTCTCTATGCATTCCACATTTATTACCTCTTTTGCAGTTCAAAGTCAAGAAATAAGTCTTCTGTCTCGCTCCCTCCGGATCCTCTTTCAACCTTTTTGATCATCACAAGCCACCTTCTCGTTCACTCCCGACCGTAGTCACTCCTTAACCCACTACCAGCCAACCGCAATAATGAAGGTACGAACGAGCTACTGTGTGATACGAATATGTCTTGCAACAATTACATCCGCAGCACGAAGAGAAATCTGAAGAAGCAATTAAAGAAACTGACAAGACTGAATCAGACCACCGCCTTCCTCACCCTCATCGGCGCCGCCAGCGCCCTCGTCGCCCGCGTGCCCCCCATCGCCGGAGCAGCCTTCGAGGCCCCCAACACCCTCATCCAGTACCAGCGCTGGTGCCCCGTGTGCGAGACCGTCGCCCTCAACCAGGCATGCATCGCCAAGCGCGCCAGCTGCCAGGCCAGCACCCTCGTGTACGTAATTATTCAGGTGTTCGCAGCCTCGCGTGTCGGGAAACCGGCACACGAGCCTCTTCAAGCCATCAAATTCGCCCAATCCTTCTTCAATTATGTGTCGACAGGACCGCTAACCTGGAAAACAGCGTCCCTGACGATGCTCCCGAGTGCTCTGAGCGCTGCAGCAACACGTGCCAGCTGTCGGCCGTCGCAGACAGCGACTTCGGATACAGCTGCAACGTCACCTTGCCCGCCGGTGGTGCCCAGTAGAGGAACGCAAGATTTTCGCCTGGGGGATAACTGGAATCTTGAAAAAAAAAAAAAAAAAAGGGTACCAGTGAAAGTCAGCATTAGCGAGCGAAGCCAGCTGTCTGGTCTGGGCCGGTGGTTGCAAACGGAGTGAATGCGTATGGTTGGGGTTACACTTAAACACAGAGCGGGTTCATCGCAGGACCGCCAGCTCAGAACATAATGTCTTGATACCAGGTCTGCAAAAGACCATCCTATAAGCCGCCTTTGGGTACCTACCGTGAAATCAGGATATACCTTGTGGACATCTGGGCCTTACGACACTACTTGCGCTCTCGTAAAACAAAATAGTTCGAAGGCATCGAAATCTCATTCGAAAAGCTTAGAATTGAGCTCTTTCACGGATGATGTGTCTTTTGTTCCGAATATCCTCAAATTCTCTGGCTCGCCGTTCCACTTGTGATTTTGGGGGGTTACACTTGTAATCCAGCAGCTTTAAGGTGAAGAATGTGCTCTCTTGGACTTGGTTCATTCCATTCATACGTCTTCAGCAAGAGAAGTTCCGGAATTTCCAGAATTTCCAGGCTTTTATAATGCTCGAGTGACTTGCATTTATGTTTTGCGTGCCATTCTTTACATTATCATGGCGGCCGCGGACCTTTCTGAACCTGTCAATTACATGCATGCGCCTGTCTTATTTCCTCAAGATTCATGCGAAGCAAATTTTCAGCGGTTTCATCTCTGGTAGCAGTAAAATGTGGAAATAGGTTTAATGGTCGTTGCATGCTTTGGCGGGATACCGTTGCCGGTGGCGTAAAGACATTTCAGCAAGACTTGTGTTGCGATGGCACAAAGGCAGAACGGGAGGGCCTTGGTTCTTCAAAACTCCACTGATGAACTCTTGCTCCCTCCTTGTCGCATCCAAATTTATCTCATCTCCATTGAACGACCACAGACACAGAGTGACACCAGTGAATATAGGTGTTCCCTCCATCGGTATTCTCACGTGTGGAAAATTTCCATGCACCCTGAGCCTAGGCAAGGAATAATTGGCACACCCATGCCGATCGCTTGCAGTAGCAGTCCAAACTGAATTGAGACTTTATGCAGTCTTTGCGTATTCACTGAGCTCTAGAAACGTAGAATCGATCGTCGCTCCAGAATTATCTAATCAAGTGCACCAGGGCTGACTGACAGCAGCCCGCCCTGTCAGATTGACGAGGCTTGCCAGAATGCTTACTCACTCCGCGCTTGACCTAGACCTTGACTAAGATCGCAATGCCGGTAGTCACCTACTTACCCGACGGGATCAGTGACGGGGACCCGCACTTCTCGGTCTGGGAACTGCCAGCCATTCTTCCATTGTCACACAAGTCCACTTTACTAAGTTCCAACCGATGCATTAAGGTTCAGCCGCCTCTCCTGCAGGACATGTTGCAGTGTCAACGGTCTAACCTCCCGGTCAGCAATTATTTGCGTTCTATCTCCGGATGCTGATGCTGACGCTTGGGAGTGTTTGCTAAGGACATATCGAGGGATGATTGCTCTTCCGGCCACTGTGCCTCGGCAAAGGAGACGGGTAAGAAGCTCTTCTTTGATAGCCAGTGAATAACTATGTGGACAAAGACGGGTCTTTCCGCTTCAATGAACCCACTCGCCGTCTCAGTGCGGACAGTCAATCATTAACCAGGCATTGGAAGACCGTATTGAGGCAAGTGGGAGAGTGTCTGCACAATCATGCAAGTCCGGCCAGTGAAAAGTCCAGACCATCAACTGAAGCCTGACTCTTTGTGCAGAGGCGGCACGATCGTATGTTCCTCGGGACTGGCCCAATGGCAAAGACGCTGTAGTGCATCTCGTATCAGACCCGAGAGATAACCGAGTGATGGAATCTCGCCATGGGAAGCTCTACTCATGATTGTAGCGCGGCGCCTAGGTGCAGAGCCAGGCAGGACTATCTCGAGCTCGGGGCGCGAACCGCGGGAGGTTATCTCGACCTAGTGCATCGCTAGGCAGCGTGCAGACCTCTCGGACGGCTGCTCTATCGCAGCGCACGAGTAAACATCTGCTGTTTGTTCTCTGGTGAGACATCTGCGGCTGGATTTCTGCATGCTAGAGCTCTGAGACACCCGAAAGAGACGCCCGTAAACTACCTAGCGGGCCGCGGCAGCAAGCCCCCGGGGCGGCTGTCACTTTTCGTTTCCGGCGAGCTTGGTTTGCTAGCTGCGGCATCACTCGTCTCGTGACGAGTTTTGCGACTGGATGCTATGCCTAGTTCGGAGTGGCGAACAGCAGTTGACAGGTTTGGCGTCAACTTGCAACTATCGTCGTCCAGAAACGTCGTTTCTCGACGGCAACGGGGGTAGAAGCAGATCGACGACGTCGATGGACAATGGGCAGCCTCCTCTTATCGATGTGGACCTGTGTCGCACTGTCGCTGCAAGAAGATTCCAGACCCGTCCGAACTCGGCAGAACCCCAGATACCACCTTGTCAGCTTGTCACCGACAGATTGGAGAGGTGTGTGACTCGCGTGCCACAAATGCAGCCTTCCCAAACCGAGCAGTCGGCGATGCAGATCGCCATGTGTCGGTGACAAAGACACTGCACAGGCGCCGCAGGTACGGCTGGAGAAAAATTGGACAACGGGGAATGGAAGCGACCTCACGCCTAGGTCAACCCAGGCACACACACACACAAAACACAGGGTTCAATGCCGGAACTCTGCTCGGGTTGCCTGAAATGAACTGGGAAAGTCTCAGCCCACAGGATCGGTGATTCTCGATCTCCCCTGCTCCCCTCACACCATTATCTCTCGCCACTGTAGGTGAGACGGCCGACGGGGGGAGGGTACTGGGCAGCTGGGCAACGGGTGGCTGGACTAGGGAACGAGAGCCGAGCAGCCACTTCCTGCCATCTTGCAGCACCCCCTGGGCCTCAACAGCCGATTTTCCCTGGGCAGCGGCCGGGGTAGAGGAGCCACTGTCGTCACTCGGCAGGTGGGAGGGCAGCTAAAGTATTTTGGCGACAATTTCGCGACGGTTGAAGGAGCCAAAAAAGCGGGGGAAACCCCAGATCGATGACAGGAAAATCCTCCTTTGGCGTCTCGGCACGCAAAGGTTGGTGGCGCTTGGCCGGTTATGCCAAGCCACAGTGGACGGCTTTGCGCGGTGCCTGTGTGTGTGTGCATGGACAAGGTCGCATGGGCCCTGGGCTGGGGGCTGGCTGGCATGGAGATGACTGCATGGTTTGTTTCTTCTCCATCCTCGGAAGGAGAGAAGGAAAAAAGGGCAAAGAAAGCTTAGGAGACCCTTCTCAGGCATTTGCTGCAATAGCCATATGCGGCTCCGGGGATCAGCCCGGCAAGGCCACATGACCACGGGATCCTTTGACGCATTCGACAATGCCATTGGGGCGCTGGCTGGCTTTGCTGATGGTGGTGGCTGCGGTCTTTTTGTTTGTTGGTTTCGGCGTTTCCAGAGGCAGACTCGGCAGAATCGAAGTCAGCTTTGCAGCTTGCATCAGCAGCTTGGGCAGCTTGCAGGGCAGCTTGCAGGAGCATGGCTCGAATGGCTCCAGCAGTGGGCTCTGGCTTCGCCTGTCCGCCTGGTCCATGGTCATCGGCGGTCTCCTGCCAGCCCAAGCGGCTTGGCCTTCGCGGCCCCATGAGGTTAGCTCCAAGGCAGAACTGGCAGGGCGGGCGTTCTCTGGCGTTGGAGCGAACAGGAGCGAACAGGTCCCTTGTCTGTGCCCCATCGTTGGGCCAGCATGTGCCCCACCTCCGCGTCGTGTCGGGCGGCCGTCATTGGCGAGCCTGGCCGACTGATTCGGTTCCCCAGATGGGGAGGCAATCAACGCGGAGAGAAGGGTGGAGTGGGCTACGAATGGGCGGGGAGGGCGAGTGGAGGCGGAGACCAAGCTGCAGGAAGCTGGCCTGCAGGGATCCTGGCCCTGCCGATGCTGCAAGCGGCCATCGAAACGTCGTACACAGCTACTATACCTGGTAGTCTATACCTGCCGCAGTACCGTAGCACCGTAGTTGTACCGTAGTACTGTCAAGATGGTCCCTCCCAGCAGGATCCTCGACTCTGCCTTTGGGAACGAATGAAATTCACTCGTACCATCCCATCCCCGATCGACGGGCTGAGATGGGTGCTTAGACAGCATATAAACTCGCCCGCCCACTTCTCCTCCTTCAACTCTTAGATCAGCTCTTCTTCCGACGCCTGACCGGTAACTCGCATTTTCTGCTGTGGAAACAGACTCTCTGACTGTATCCATCCCACATTGGCAAACCAAGGCTGGCGTATTCTGACATCAAGCCTTTTCCCCAAGCTTGACTGGCCTTGACCAAGCCAGACAGACCGTACCTAAGGGCCTGAGTGAGCTTGGCCTGGTTAAGCTTCATTGCCCAGCAACCCTTGCTTACCCTGCCCCCAAAATTCCCCTTGGAGATCCCCCAAACGATTGCCCAACATGGCGGAGAAGAAGGGTGAACTGTAAGCCAAGCCCCACGTGGAACTGCCGAGCTGACACACATTGTCTCTCGAATTCACTGTTTATGTCATAGTTAATCCTGGCTAACAACAAACAATCAGCTACGCCGAGCCGGGTGCCCACGAGCTCGAGCGCGGCGCATCAGCCGGCGCAGTCGACATCAATCGCAACATCGAGGCCAAGATTTCCAACCCCCTGGCCGGAATCCCCAAGAGCCAGCTCATGCGCCAGGTCGACGCCTTTGCGCACGAGAAGGGCCTGGCCGACCACATCCCCATCCTGCGCAAGGGCGCCCTCGTCGCCCAGCTGGGCGTTGCCACCTCGCTCACCCGCGAGGACTACGACTCCATCGGCGGCGAAGAGACCCTCACCGAGGAGGAGAAGACTGTCCTCGAGAATGAGGTCAAGCACAAGTGGCGCCTGCCCTGGAGACTCTGGCTGACCGTCATTACCTGCTCCATCGGCGCCGCCGTCCAGGGTTGGGACCAGACCGGTTCCAATGGCGCCAACCTGTTCTTCCCCAAGGTCTACGGTATCGGCAGCAAGAGTGTGCACGACACCCTGATCGTCGGTCTTGTCAACGCTGGTCCTTACATTGGTAGCGCTGTTCTCGGCTGCTGGCTCACTGATCCGTAAGTCTGAATGCCGCTTCACTCTCCAAATTTTGGGGCTGTATTGAATGAAACGGGCTCGACTGACTGACTGTCGATAGCGTCAACAACTGGCTGGGCCGTCGAGGTGTCATCTTTGTTTCTGCAAACTTCTGTCTGTGGCCCGTCATTGGATCTGCCTTCTGCCACGCCTGGCCCGAGCAGCTGGCCTGCCGTCTGCTGATGGGCATTGGCATGGGAATCAAGGCATCTACTGTTCCTGTGTACGCCGCCGAGAACTCGCCTGCTCCCGTCCGTGGTGCCCTGGTCATGACCTGGCAGCTGTGGACGGCCTTTGGCATCTTCTTCGGGACCGTCATCAACCTCGCCGTCTACCACATGAGGGACCAGTGGCGCTACATGCTTGGAGCCCCCTTCATCCCGGCTGTGCCACTGCTGTGCTTGATCTACCTGTGCCCGGAGTCGCCCCGTTGGCTCATCAAGAAGAACCGCTACGTCAAGGCATGGGAGTCGCTGGTTAGGCTGCGCAACCACGAGATCCAGATTGCTCGCGACCTGTACAACATCCACGCCGCCCTCGACCTTGAGTCTCACGTCATTGCCAAGAGCACCTACGTCGTCCGCTTCTTCGAGCTCTTCACCATCCCCCGTGTGAGGCGTGCTACCCTGGCCGCCTTCACTGTCATGATTGCCCAGCAGATGTGCGGCATCAACATCATCGCCTTCTACTCCTCCACCGTGTTCGAGGACGCCGGCGCAACCCAGTACGAGGCCTTGACATTCTCGCTGATCTTCGGTGCCGTCAACTTCTTGTTCGCTTTCCCCGCCCTCAAGACAATCGACACTTTTGGTCGCCGCTCCCTCCTCCTCTTCACCTTCCCCCAGATGACCTGGACCCTGCTGGCTGCTGGTCTCTGCACCCTCATCGACAAGAACAACAGCGCGCGTACCGGCCTGGTCGCCCTGTTCGTCTATCTGTTCGCCGCCTTCTACTCGCCCGGTGAGGGCCCCGTGCCCTTCACCTACTCTGCCGAGGTCTTCCCGCTGTCCCATCGTGAGGTCGGCATGAGTTTCGCCGTCGCGACCTGCCTGTTCTGGGCTGCCATCCTGAGTATCAGCTTCCCCTTCCTGCTGGCCAAGACCGGCACCGTTGGTGCCTTTGGCTTCTACGCCGGTCTCAACGCCGTCGCCTTCGTCATGATCTTCTTCTGGGTTCCAGGTTCGTCCATCCCCCTCCCTCACTGACTACTATCGAAAATTGGTTACTAACGCGCGAGTCCCCCTCACAGAAACGAAGCAAAAGACCCTCGAGGAACTCGACTACGTCTTCGCCGTGCCTACCAGCAAGTTCGCCCAGTACCAGCTCACCCAGGCCGCACCCTGGTGGGTGAAGCGCTACGTCCTCTTCCAGAAGAGCGCCACCCTCAAGCCGCTCTACCACGAGGAGCACCGCCACCAAGCCGCGGAGTCCGAGCAGTTCCAGGAGAAGTCGGCCGAGGCGTCCGACCCTCCCAGCCCTCGTCACCTGGAGTAGGCGGGAGGATTGGGCACCATCTGGCCGGTCCCACGAGATTCTGCTTTGACGCGAATATATATCCGTTTTCCTGCTCTCTATAGAGCTAGATACACGAAGGATATCGTCGCAGGATAATTTGACTTTTTTGTGCGCCCGTTCGGGATATGCGTCTACATGCATCGGACTAAACCTGCCCTCTTGCTGATGAAAGATATATCATCCACGCAGAGCATGTCAGGCCCCTAGATTCGGTCATCTTAGATATTAATGGATCACTTTCTGCCGACCTATGGACAACGGCCTGAATCGCTAGCCCTCCTCCTTTGTGTGACATGTAAGTGACCGCCCAGCCTGTGGCGCGCCAGCCATGTTTATAATAAAGACGGGTACAAAGTATCACTGCTCCTTCAGAACGCTCTCGTTTCCAGGGGGTATCTCTGTTTATTTTCTTTTTCCAACTCCCTCGACCGGGCCAATCCAGCCGGGCGGTATCGCTGTGCTGCTTTACATGTTCCAATTACTGCTAGTGGGTAGGTATTCAGAGAGAGACAAAGAGAGCCGATCAGCACTCAGAAGTTGAGCCAGTTGAGGCAGCCCTTGTACAGCTCGGCCTTGTACTCGTACAGCTTGACGCTGAGGAACTGCGTCGCGAAGGCGGTGATGGTGAAGACGAAGTCGATCTCCTCGCTGAGGCCGTTGTCGCACGTCTCGGTCGAGTTGGGGTAGGTGATCCCGCCCGTGGCGTTGTGGTACTGCGTTGCCGTGGCGGTGGTGATGAAGGGGAAGGCCGGCTCGGCGGTGACGCCCGTGCTGAGGTCGAGCAGGCCGTCGAACAGGTCGCAGGCGAACTCGACGGTGAAGTCGATGAAGGGCTTGAGCGTCAGCTGCGCCGTCTCGGTCGTGTTGTACGTCGCGTGCTTCTCCGTCGTCCAGCCGTACGACGTGCTCTGGCCCCAGTGCACCATGTCCAGGTGGATGCTGCCGTTGGGCATGGCCGACGTGATGTCCACCGTCACCGCCCCGCCCACCGTCGCCGTCACCTCGCCGCCGATGCTCACGCCCGCCGAGGGCCCCAGGCTCAGGATCCCCGGGATCTCGATCATCGAGTACGTCAGCCCCGCGGGCGACCACGACCACGACTGGTCGTACACGCCGTCCACCTCGATGGTCAGGTTGGCGTGGTGGTGCATCGACTTGTCGATGTCGATGGTGAACTCGGTCACGCCCTTGAGGAGGTGCCACTTCAGGTGGCCCGCGTACGTCACCGAGTTGTTGATCTCGGCCTGGTTGAGCTGGATCTTGACGGACGACGTGTCCACGATGGTCTGGTCCTCCGGGAGCGCCCAGTCGTACGCGATGGTCAGGCCCTCCTTGTCCAGCGAGATGCCGCGCTTGTCGACCCGGTTCGTTGCCGTCGCCACGCTGTTGAAGTTGATCTCGGTCGAATCTGGTAACCCAGTTAGCCATCACTTTGTGTCACCCTCACGCTCGGGAAAGGAGAGCATGGGTTTCATCGCATGGTGATCTTACCGGCTGTGCTGTAGACATCGCTCTTCTCTGCCTTGGCGACGATGGTCAGGTTCGACTCAAACGAGGCCAGTGTGTCGGTATCCGCGACGAAAAAGGATCGTTCAAGCTCGGAGTCGCAGTCTCCCATGTGGTTCGTGACCATTACAAAGCTGTCATTGAGTCCGGACCACTCCGCCAGAGCCTCGTTGAAGCCATCCTTGTCACTGAACGTGACAGCCACACGCGACTGGCCCATGCAGTCCACGGCGCTCACATCGTCAACGTCCTCGAGTATCACCGCTGGGTGCTGCATGAGAAGATTCACAGAGACAAGACTGGCCTCATCGGGGGTCTTCCAGGCCAAATCAAGGTTCTTGGTCGGAACAATATTCCGTCCCACTCCGAATGCCTTGCGGTTCTCATTGGGGACTGGGATGAGCCGCAGCTTCGACGGCTGTTCTGTTGCGGCTTCGGATCGGGACTGGACGGCTGAGTTGAAGGGGGCTGCATAAGCGAGACTCGCGATAAGGGACGCGATTCCGACGGAGAACTTCATTTTGAACTGTTCATAAAGCAAGATGCACCTGGGTATTTCAAAAAGGACAGACTGGGGTCGGAGAGTGTAAAGAGAGTGGCATTCGCTGAAATGAATGTGCAACGTTCAACAACAGCGACTGAGAAGCAGAAAAAAGAGTGACTGAGCCGGTGTGAATGAATGAACACCAAACTCGACAATACCAGAAGAAGACACTGATGATAACGACCACTTTCCGAACCAAGGAAATCCCGGCGCGCGGTGATCCGGGGAGACATACTCTATATACCTACATATCTACCATGGTAGGATCCGTCAGATTTCCGCCCCCCGTGCAAGGGGATCGTCAACGCAACCCGCAGGCATGCAGGTAAGAAGATCATTAACGGGGACGCGAGCCCCCTGATCCCAGCAGGCTGAACCCGTCGGTCCTTTCCCGTGGGATTCGACCACGACCTGAGTCGTGCACATGCCCTGAATGCTCACTCGCCCGAGGGCTCGGAGGCCCGGTCCACTGGCGGCCCAGTGAGGTCGCAGCACGCCGCCAAGGGTTTAGATGAGCCTCCGCAGGGCACCCAATAGTAATCAAGCTTCCCGTTTCGACACACCTCAACGGCTGACCCACGCCACGCTCCGGCATGAGAACCCCCTTTCAGCTGAACGGGTGGCCGCTCCAATCGGTGGTCGCATTCCGCGATGTGAAGCTGGGCAAAATGTGCCGGGGTTTGCTTCCATCTGCACATGCATTTGTATGCAGAGGATTATTTGGGCAGGTGTGTTTGCCAGAATGATAGCAAGGAGTCGAGTCCAGAGAATGGGCAGCGGTGGCTGGCAACTAGGCAGAGTCTCACAATACGCTTGAGTGCCTTTATGGCAAGTCGTGCATGTCTAATGTTGTGCATGAAGTACCCATATTAGACCGTCGTATCCAAACTGATTGACTAAAACTTGACTTCAACATCACTGCAAAGCATCTTTCGAGTCTTCCTTCGGTATTTCTTACACGTCGTGCTCGGTATGTGGGCAAAATTGGCCGTGACGGGTTGCATGTGGGTTGAAGAGATTATAGGAATGCTTTGGATGGTTACATCCGTTAGATAAGCGTCCCGTGTGAGTTGCTGTTGGCCGTGCCGACTCATCAAGAGGCAATTGGGAAATCAGTATCCGGTGGCTCTGTCAACGCATGCATCTGCGACAACTGGGACTCGGCAAAAGATATTTGTGGCCCTCGAATCTCGCGGCTCGGATAGTGCCGAATGGATGGCCGAGTTCAGACTTTTGGCCGTTTCTTGTCCACGTCGAGAACCTGTTTCTGCTGCTCAGGGGACGCTCAGCCCTCCTGATGGCAGCGGCATGCTTACGTTACATTCGATGCAATCCTACTGGTACTGGGGTTTTGGGCCTGATATGTCAACTGCCTTACGGGGAGGCGCATTCCATTAGGAGGCGATCCGAAAGACGTCCCGCCGGGGAAATGAGCCAGGGGTGCGATGCTGCGGTGATCCGGTAGGGGAGACTTCTTGGCGTGAGGCGCAGACTGGTTGGCTCGGCTGAGCTGAAGTGGGTGGATGGTGTCACCTGAGGTTGGTGGAGGACATCTGGAAGTTGGGTACTATTGTGGACGTTGCAAAATCAGTCTATCGAGCCTCAACTTCTCTCTGAAGGCCCGAGCTTGGCACTTTTGAGAGATGGCAGCCGTGAGCCTGGGATATCCCGACCTGACTCAAGGCCTGGTCCTTTCATACCCCGGGCTACCGACGACGAGGCCCCCCAAGCACGTGGGCACGTGAATCACACATTTGGCAGTCAAGGCCGGTACGGAGGAAACGCGTGCCCTGGAATACGATGAGGTTCAAGAATAGAGTTGCGTCTGCAACTTGCATAGTGTTTCACTCGGCTGTCTCCATTTTACCGTAAGTACGTTGTCGGCTGGAACTGGAACGCTTGCACATTGGGAATGAGTCGCTCAAAGTCGGGGCTTAGGAGAAGACTGCTGTATAGATTGCGGTGGAAAAGGGTGTACCACCGAGATAATTACGCGCTATGATGTTTTCACCGTAGTCTCCAGATCCGAATCCCCTTTGTTTCTGGTGCTCAGTTCTAAATTTGACAGCGTCGCAACAGACCCTCTCAATGCAGGGCAAGGAATCCAGAGTGGAGCCTGCATCTGATGTAGCGTTGTGTCAAGAACATGTGGGAACGTCCCACATTCAATTGGTCAGGGCTGAGTGTGGAATGGAAACGCGAAAACAGCAGGTGAATTTTGCAAATTGTTCACGTTCTCCTCGTACGTGCAATACAGGTGTATCTTTCGACGACACGGAGGTGAAAGCTGTCATCGGGCTCCTGCAAGCTCAACCCCGGCAGCGAGTCCGGGGTGGAGACGACGTGAATCGTACAGCACGGCCCCGAGCAGATCTCGCCCTACTCTAGATAAGAATGACAGATCGTTTATCGAGAAGACTTATCCGACGGTCTGGCTGCTGGTCAATGGGGGCAGACTGAATCAGAGAGAATGTGAAGAGACCCTAGGCCAATTTCATAGCTGTGCATGTGCATCGAGATGGTCGAATAAAGTGTGCACCTCAGCCAAATATTCCTGTGTGTTGTTTCCAGCAAGATACCTAAGTTAGGCTGCCGAGAAGTACTTATTAATGCCATGTTTTTCAAGCCGTCAAGAGAGAGAGAGAGCGCCAAAAAGTTGAAATACAATAGAAAGTGCTGCATACACAGAAAAATGAATAGAGGAACTAAGATTCTGAATGTAGAAGAATTTCAATTGGCCCCATGTGTGTCCTTTCTTTGGATCTAATGTGGCACAAGACAAGGAAGGCATCATCTAAGCACATGATATATTGCCACACTGGATGTCTGTCACTCAATTGTCTTGAATTTCTGCCTAAAGCGATGCTCAAATCACTCCGATATCCGTTCTCAGGTGATAAAGGCTATGTGTCCTAAATCGTGGGCACGGGAGTTATTTGTACACTAAGGGGAAGATACAAGCCGGTGTGTGGTTCAGCGTACCTCTCAAGTGCTGGCAATCTAGTGTTTCTCAGTCTCACGTTATCATAACTTGTAAAATAACTCCACTAAATCTGGCTGCAATACAACAAATAACATGAACAGAAGACAGATAATGGTCTTGATGTACGATTGTCTTGAATGTCGTCACACAAGATCAAAATATTTGATGTCCACGCCTCCCTCCTTCAAGAACTTTGGAGTTAGGACCAAGTTCGCTGTCCCTCTGAAGCTGGGAAAATCGTCGAGAACAACATTCAAAGGCTCAAATCTCGGGTCCACATAAGACAACAACCCCGTGTGGGTGTCTTTCCAGATAGGCCTATCATTCTTTCTGGACTCCGCCATTTGCATGTGACCTGGGAGTGGTCCGAGCAAAGACTCCCCATTTCTGACCGATGGCATGACACAGGGGCCGACAACTTGGAACTTTCCATCTTGAGTTGCTCGAAGGATCAAAGGGGAATCACATCCAAGCAGGGTGCAGATTTGGTCACCCGACTGTGCTTCTGACGGCGCAAGTCCAAATTGACTGTCTGTGGTTTTAAATGTAAGCCTGAAATCCAAGAAATGAGACTGTTCCAGGAAAGCAAGTTCATCTCTGTCCAATGGGTCGTATTGGTCGCCATTAGACAGCATCTTCTGAACAATTCTTTTGCCTGACTCAATAGTGGGCAATCCTTCCCTAGGCGGTTCCCACACGTCGGAAGATTGACCGCACAAAAGACTTTGAGTAACATATTCGAGTTTTTCGTCATCGGTTATAGTCTTTTCCGGCTGGATCATGTTTATGAGCAGCCGGCGGAACTCCTCGTATACCTCTTGATAGGAGCAGCCGATCTGTGAGCGTCACCCTTCGTGATGTTGAATCGTGCCAACCAGTACCCCAGCCACCCGAACCACATCATTTGAATGTAATTCGTACCAAGCTGCGATCTGAGAAGAGGCGTGTTGTCCGTGATTGAAAAAACCCCTCCACTTAGGCTTTCTTGACCAATCTGGAACCCAGCTGGGGATGTGTGATCCTGTTCCAAGCTCGCATGATTCAAGGACAGAGAGGGAGCCGGTGCTGTGCACAAAACGTAGAAATATGTCTTTGTAGGCATCTTGAAAGGACTTAGTATAGTCAGGCACAACTCCTTTTGTTATGTCGTCACGGAGTAATGACCAAATCCCATAAATCCTGTCTCTTGGATCATAGCAGTCTGTGAATCCGAAGCATTGCCTTAAACTTTGAAATGGCACTGTTCAACGACCTGCAGTAAGGAATCCCACCAGGGGACTTTTTATCTCACCCAACTGCACCTCGAGCGATTTCACACGATCATACACTGCAGGCTCGATAATGGGGAGCTTTCTTTCCACTGCACGAGGTCGTCTCGAAAGTACCAGCACAAACGCTCGAAAGAAGACAGGCCAAGGCACTTGTCTGTGTCCACAAGTGATGATGGCGGCAGGCGATGCCAGTTGTATCTCCTGTCGTATCCACAGTCTACTGAACCATGGCCTGAGAAGTAGATGCATGAGGGCATCTATTTCCTCCATGCTGAGCCATATGTTGTGGTTTTTAAGGTCCGGTCGAGATGGTCAGCCCATTCATCTCGTCGACCCAGATGATCTCTGGTTGCTCGGGCGAGCCCCAAACATATGAGAGAGCCTCATACTCGGGACGCTGGTCCTCCGAGAAGGGCACAACGTCTAGGCTAATGACAATTGCTTCTTCGAAGGTCCCAGGGTATAGTTTGACACGTTGGATGTAGTTGATTCCGGGGAGAGGGTCGTATTTGTAGACCGCAGGCGCCTGCAGCTGGATGAACCCAGAGTCGCTTGTAGGGCTTGAAGGGGGGCCCGGACATCATGCCTTTAAGGAGTCGGTCGGACTCGACGACGAGCTTTGGGGCATCAGAATCGGCCCTCTGCCGTGTGCACTAAGAAGATGCAGTAGACAAGAGAGGGGGGCGGGGAGGGGAAGAGGGGTTTGCATTTGCGTGTAGAAAATCTGGCTGCAAATGGATGTGTTGGTGCCTACTTCGTAGTCATCCTTCGTTGTTGAACCAACAGGTCACAATGCCCACTCAAAATAGGTGAACAACTTTCAATAGGCAGACCATGTTAAGATGTAGATCCACAGCATGTGAGTCTACTTTCGTGGCTTCTTATTGAGTGGATTCTACACATACTTTATAATTAACTCAGGATTCTGAATTTCGTGATCTTGGAGCACTTAGAATCCAGGCTGGATCCCACAAGTTTCAGAGATTTCTTTTGGAATTTTGTGTATTGGTTGTGCAAGCAGCGTATGTATTCAACCACAGGTTCTGCTATAAAAGTATCCAGCCTCTCCCCCCGACACGTGTAAGCATCCAATAGCAATTCTACCCACCCCGGAAGGTCTAGACGCCCTGGGCAGAAAAGTCTGACCTACGTGGGTGGACAGTGAGCCATTCCGGCGCACCGTACAACCTGATATCTCAACTGCCAACGATAGTTGACGTTTCAAAGTCAACGAAGCCAGCATTTCGTCACTGGGACCTCGATACTTCTGTTGGAATATTCTAGATATCTAGGCTATTATTAATACGGGATATCCTTTTCCCCATATGTTTGCTACTGTATGGAGGATAATAACTATAAATAGGGGCCTTCCCTCCCGTTGAATAAACGTTAGCTAGCCTAATAAAAAAAGCATTTAACGCTATTATTTAATAGGTTATGAGGCCCGGAGCTTACCCAAAGCGGCAACGCTAACCCAATACGGAAAACGGCTAACCTAATATGGAAAACGTACATTATATAACACCCTTAATCGCCACTACTTTTTAAACCTTTTAAATAAGATAAACTTTATATTTAAAAATATACCTTTTAATTAATTACTTAATTAAGCTAATTAATAAGCCCTTAATTAATTAAATTACCCTATTTAATATTATAAATTAACCTTATTTCTTAACTTAAAACCTATATATAAAAACCATACCTTATTTACTTAAATACTTAATTATTTCTTTATTAATACTTAACTTATTTATATAATTTATATATTATTTAAAAGCCCTTATTAAGAATAATAAGAGCATTTCTTTAAATTTTAAAAACTATATTAAATTAATATTAAAAACGTAAATTTTAATAAAACTATAATAATCCTTAAAACTCTCTTAAAAATACTTAATTATATCTTAGCTATTTTTAATTCATAATACCTTAAAAATATACTATTTAAAAGCTCTTCTTCTTTTCTTTATAACTATATTATTTTAATATTTATATTTTTATTCTTTAATTTATTAAACTTATTTAAAATTTATTATATTTTTCTCTTTATTTTCTTAATTATCTTAATAAATATTTTACTTATTTACCTTAAAATAACATCCCTTAATAAGTATAATATTTTATTTCTTAATAAAATAAAAAACTATATATATTAAAGTATTAAAATTTAAGCTTAGCTTAAGAAAGAAAATATTATTAAAAATAATCTTAAAAATCTTTTTTAAGGCTTATCTTTAGCCTAAAATAAAAAAATCCTTATTAATATTAAACTTATATATAAATAAGGGCTTATTATATTTATAAAAAATATAAATAATGCTTAAAAAGCATAAGATATACTTAAATCCTATTATAAACCCTTTAAGTTTATAATTAATATTTACTTTATAAAGAGTTTTTTAATATTAATTTTAATAATTTTAAAATTATAAAAGAATATATTAATAAGCTAAAGCTTTTTTTAAAGAATTTAAAGGTTAATAATATAATTTTTCTTAAATAAGTTATAATTAATTAAATTTTCTATAACTTAAATAATAAATATATTAGCTTTATTTAAAATATAACTTAAAGTTTTAAAAAAGATTTAAATATTTATATAATTAAATCTTTCTTTTTATTATGGGTTAGCCTTAGGTTGTTTGCCATAAGGTATATAAATAGGGTTTATATTTAAAGTATAAAGGAAAAGGTTTACTCTCTGTTTATATCTACGCTAAAGCTTATTTTTATAAAGCTAAAGCCCATTAATTAATTATAATAGGCAAAGCTTAAACTATAACATATCCTCCTTTTCCAGGTCCTTAGCAAGCCTTAAAAAATAGCTATATAATAAAAAATAAAGAATACCATAGTTTAATCATGAATTAAATATTACTCTTTACCTAGCCATTTAATTATACTTTAGCGCCTTTTAATTGCGCCAAAGGCCCAGCCTATTATCCATAATTAATATACCCCAGCCCTTATAATTTAATATGCTAGCTAAAGCAAGCTAATAAAAAACAATCATTTAAGCGCAAGCTAACGGCTAAATTAATAGCATTCTTATAATCTTTTAATGCAAGCCTTTTATATAAGCTCTCTTATTTAAAACCTTAAAATCGCGGATTTATTATATAATCCGCAATTAATTAGCGCTTAATTATAAGTAATTTGCTTTATTAACGGGAATTTTCCTAAATTTTAAGCGTTTTCATAAGGCTAAACTAATTAATATTGAAAACGAGCTACTTAAATAATGGGGGATAAGTTTTGCTAAACCCTCTTAAGGATAACTTAAGAAGGAGCTTTAATATAATAAAAAGGGAAGATAAGAATAAAAGGGAATTAAAGAAAGGGAAAAGATAAATATTTTAAAAATTCTTAAAAATAAGAAAAGCTTAATTAAAGCATTAAATATATAAAAAAAGAAAAAAGTTAATTTCTTAAAAAAATATTTAAAATAAGTATAAAAGCTAGCTTTTTATAATTAGTTAAAATTTAATATAATATTATTTTTTATATAATTTCTTATATTTATTAATATATTTCTTTTTAAGTATTTTATAATAAATATTATAAAAATTATTAAAATAAAACTTTATTATTTTTAATTAAATTTATAAGTTTTAAAATTTACTTTGCTATAATTTTAATTATTATTATTATCTTTAATTCTTTATTTATTTATTTTATTATAGCTTTTATTTTTTTATAAAAGCTTTAAATATTTTTAAGATTTACTTAATAATATATTTATTAATTATATTCTTTTAATTATTAAAGTTTATTTTAATAGTTAATATTAATATAGCTATTAAAGATTTAAATATTTTTATAAAATAAAAAGTAAATTTATTTTTCTTTTTAATTATTATATTAAGTATAATATATTAGCTTTGCTAATTTTTACTTTTGCTTTTTATAAAGCTTTTACTTTTACTTTTACTTTTTATAATACTTTTATTTTTAATATTTATGCTTTATATTTAATTACTTAATTAGCTTATTTATAACTTTTTTAAATTATTTTTAAATAAACTTTATTATTATTTTAATTATTTTAAGTTAATTAATATACTTTAAATTTTATTTATATTTATTATTAAAATAAATAAATAAGAAAAATCTTTATATATATTAAAATAAGTATTTTTTATTAGCTTTAAAATATTTTATAATATAATATTTAAGCTAAAAGCTTATTTAATTAAAGTTATGCTTAATTAATTTTAAGCTATTTAAAAGTTTATACCTTATTATATATTAAATATTTAAAATTAAGTTATTAAATTAATTTATATTAAAGGTATTATTTCCTTTATAAGGAATTATTTAAATAAACTATAATAATATTATATTAATATTAATTTAAATAATATAAAATTAATTTTATGCTAAAGATTTTTTTTAATTAAAAAGTAAATAAATAAATATTTCTTTTTCTTACTTTAAAAAGAAATTATAGTTTTTTTATAAAAAAGCATTTAATTAATTAAGCATTAATTTTAATTCTTTATTAATTAAAGAAAACTTAAGTTAAATTTAAGCATTATATTTACTTTTATAATTTTTATTTATAACTAATTTTATTCTTTTTTTATAAGTAAGTTTTTAATTAATTATACTTTTAAGAATAATATTATTAAAAAAATAATTATTTATAAAATAAACTTTAATGCTTATTTATTTATAAAAAGTTTTAATTAAAGGTTAAAAGGTTTTATTAATTAATTTAATAATTATTAAAATAAAAGGAATTTTATTAATTTATTTTTTAATATATATAATTCTTTTTTATAAATAAATATTATAAATATAAATTAATATTTATTAACCTTTTCTTTTAACTTAATAAATTTTTTAAACTTTAATTTAAAAATTTTTTATAAATATAAAAATTAAACTTCTTATATTTTTATTTAAAAAAATACTTAAAGATTTTTTATTTTTTTTTATTTTAATATTAAAATAAATTAATATAATTAATATATTAATTAATATTAAGCTTTAATTAAGGCTTAAAAAAAGTAAAAAAATGCTTTTAAAAGCTAATAAGTACTTTTAAAAAACTTAAGCTTTCTTAAAAAAAGTTACTTTAAAAGGCTTTTAATTCTTTTATCTTAAATTATATATTATCTTAATATTATTAAAAATAAAATAAGTATAAAAATATCCCTTTAATTATTTAAATATTAAATTTATATTTAAAAAAAAAGCATTTTTAAAAAAATATAATATAAAATATTAAGGGCCTTATTATTAATAATAAAAATATAGCTTTAATTTTATTTAAATTAATATAAATTTACTTTTTTATAATTTTAATTAAAAATAAATAATTTTTATTATATATTATTAAATTTATATTATTAAGTAAAGCATATAAAAGTTTATTATATTTATAATATAATAAGGGTAATAAATTTATTTTAGCTTTAATATTTAAAAAAGTAAGTTATAAAAAGTAATTATTTATTTTTATATAAATTATTAAGTAAGCTAAATTAAAATATTCTTAATTAATTATATTTATAATAAATATAATAATAAAATTAACTTAATATTAAATAATTTATAATAAATTAATTAAAATATTAATTTTAATATTATTTCTTAAGAAAATAATTATATTAATTTTAAGAAATAAATCTTTAGCATAATTCTTAAAATATATTAACTTAAAAGATATTTTTAATAAAATATATATTTTAAATTATATTATTAATAAGTATTTAATTAAAATTAAATTAATATTATTAAGCATTAAAATATTTATAATACTTATTTTAATAATTATAATTAAAATTACTTAAATTACTTTTTCCTTAAATAATAAAAGTTATTAAATATACTTTTTTAATTTTAAGTTTATTATATTTATTAAGCTTATTTTTATTATAAGAAACTTAGCATTTTTTTTTTAAATTTAATTTTAATTAATAAATAAGTTTTTCCTTTCCCTTATTTTCTTTTTATTTCTTAATTATAATTTATTATTAATAATTTAAAATTAATTATTTTTTACTTTTTTAAAATTTTTAAATTAAATATAATTAATTTTTATAATTTTTATAACTTTATTTTAATTTTTAATATTCTTAGCTATATACTTTTTTTTAATTATAATAATATTTATTTAAAAAAGCTTATTATTATTTATAATTATAAGCTTTTTCTTAATATAAATTATATAATTTATAAAATTTATAAGTATTAAAATTAAGTTAATTTTTTTTTAATTATTAAGCTTTTAAATTATTTTTAAAGCTTTTAATAAGGCCTTTTCTTTAAATAAAAAATTTACTTTAATAAACTTATAATATTTAATTATATAAAATAAATTAAATCTTTTTTTCTTAAATAAAAACTTTAATTAGCTATAAATATATTTTTTTAAATTATAGCTATTTTAATTATAATATAATTAAATATAAATAAGGTTTAAATACTTTAAAAAATTAGCTTAAGTATTTTTAAATAAGCTAAGGAATATTAATAATCTTTTTAATTTAAAAGCTATTAATAAGCTATTTAAAGAAAATTGCTTAAGCTTATTATATTAATATGCATTATAATTTTAAAAAGTATAGCTATAATAAACTTTAAGTAATTTATTTTTTTTAAAAAAAAGCATTAAAATTATAACTTATACTTTATTATTATTAAGATTACTTTAATTAAATTTTATTAAAGGCTATTAAATAAAATTTATAACTTTTAATTTAATTATTTTAAAATTACTTTTTATTATTTATTATAAAAAAAAGCTTTAATATTTTATTAAAATAATTTATATTTATTTTTAAACTTAATTAAGTTAAGTTTTAATTTTATAAATTTTTTAATAAATTTATTTATATTTTATAAATTTTAATTATATTTTTTAATAATATTAATATAATTAAATTTAAATAAAGATTATTAAGCTTATAAGTTTTTATTTTAAAGGTAATTTAAAAAATTAAAATTATTTTAACTTTTTTAAAGGAAATTTAATTTTTTTAAATTAAGTAAATTTTAATTAAAATTATTTTATATAAATAAATACTTATTTTATTTAAAATATTTAAATTTTTAATTAATAACTTTTAATAAAATATGCTTAAAGTTTAGCTAAAGAATATTCTTTATTAATTTATAAGTAATTTCTTTTTTTATTAATTATTTTTTTAAATATAATAAAAGCGCTTTATAAAAGAATTAAATTATAATAAAAAAAATATTATTTATATTATTAAGTTCTTAATTATATTTTATAATCTTTTCTTTTTATATATTTAAGTTATTATAAAAATTATTATAAATAATATTTTTAATAATTATAATTAAATTTATATAATAAGTTTAATTATTAAACTTATAAAAGATAAAAAGCTTTTTTTTTTAATTTTTTTAAATAAATTATTTAATAATAATATTTTTAATTACTTTTATTAAGTTTAAAGTAATATAATATTATTTAAGTAATTTTAAGATTTAATTATTTAAGTAAAAAAATTAATAAGCAATAATTTTAAGGCTATTTAAAACCTTAATAATATTAATTTTATTAAACTTTAAGATATTTAAATTATAAATTATAAATAAAGCTATTTATAATAAAATTATTATATTAGCAAAAAGTAAGATTTTTAAAATATTAATTTAAATTCTTAATTTATTATTAATAATAAATTATAAAGTTTAATTAAAGCAAGGCTAATGCTTTAATTAATAATAAATAAAATTAAATTTTTTTTTTCCCTTAATAAGTTTCTTAAAAATTTTTTCTTAGCTTTAAGTAAAAAAGGATAAATAATTTTTAAGGTTTTAAGGTATTTTTAAAATAAAAGTAAATTTAAGAGGACTTTAAGCTTAAAAATATAATA